AACAGAGCCACTGGACTAAGTGCAGGCGTGTTCAGTCCTGTAGACTTGGCTTAGAACTGTATTAGTCTCAGTAGATTGCTCTGCCCCTGTGGACGCTCAGTTCAGAAATAGGAGGGACATGATGTGATTATTACCAAAAAAGTCAGAGAGCTTTTATCTTTTTACTGCTTTGGTTCCCATTGAAAGACAACAACTGGTTGAAATGTTTTTACTTTGCCATGTTTCAGCTGCAATTTTTATACCTGCTCCGCACTGCTATTCCGGTAAGTCTTAGTTATACTGTATATTTGTACACAGGAGTTATGTAGTTATAGTGAAAGTAATGAGAATATTCCAACATTGGGATTTCCTATTGTAATGAATGAGTCTGGAAACCAAAAAGGAAACTGCTGAAACTGCGTTGAAATCTACTTAGTCCTTCCAAAACTGCATATTTTTCCTGCCTTCCATTTCAATCTATGTCTGTGGAATTGTAAAACATGGACAACACTGACCTGCACTTTTTACTACTGCCCTTGGGGAGACATTGGCAGCTGTGCAGAATGGCTGAGCGCGAGTTTGATTGTAGGTTTCTATAAATAAACTTCTTTCCATCCTTTTGTGCCAGCGGCCTGACTCTGGGGTATCTGGGAGAGATCTTCAAGCCTCTATCTAGATTTATTTGACTTCACCTAAACTCACAACATATAGTGGCTTTCTGGGACAAAACAGTGTTCGCCTCTCTTCAATTCTCTCCTTCCTGTCCATCACACAAACAAGCGAGGTGTTGGGCTGAATGCAAACTGCTCTGTGTCCATCTGGGCACGTATCTGATGTCTCTCTCCTAGGATTTCCAGGATTGAAACCATTTACTAAAGTATTTTAGTCATAAAGCTGGTTTCTCGCAGGTGTTTTGATGATTGAGGAAAGCATATGGACAGCTGTGCAAAAGTTAGACTGGAAGAGTGACGCTGTTGTAGCTGTATATTTTCAAATGCAAAAGAAAATCACAGTAGTTTTACTCCAGCACAATTATCGCAGAAATTCACCCGAAAACATGTATTGTAACTGTGAGTGGGATCGCTTCTATATTGAAATAATGCCGTGGTTCGCACATCCTTGTATAAGTTTGTCAGCTGGCTCTTTATTATTTAGCCATGCCATTTATTTAATTCTTCATTCTTCAATTCTTCTCCAAGACTTAAAACACAAATTGGGTCAGCTCACAGACTGACACTTGGTATACGCAACAGCTTCTATGACATGTAAACAAACAAAACACTTTGATTGCTTCATTTAAATACAGTTTGTTTGAATATTTATTGAAGGACTATTTCAGATGCACATAATCTTAGAGAGCAGCTGATGTCTTTATTGTCGAGAGCACAGACCTGATTGTTTTCCAGCCTCCTCCAGGAGTATTCTCTTTGGTCCGCTGTGTGCAAAGTCTACAAAGACCCAGGACTTGAGAGAAGACGAAAGCAAAGACTGAAATAGGAAAGTCAATCTATGCCCAGCTGTCAGGTGTGATTTAGAGGAGTTTTAGCGGCTTCTTTTGAGGTGAAAAGAAAAGGTTTGTGGTCAGTGGTCTTTGAGGGAACAGAGGACATTAGTGGCTTTTAACTGTGACACAAAGATATTAATTAGCTCGGTCTGCCTTGTCATTTCCAAAAGGAATTTAGAAAGTCATTGATGCACTTGCTTTGGCACATGTTTGCAATTCCAAACAATACTTCAAACACTATGACTTTGAACGAGGGCATGTCATTCAGCCTGATCAAGAGCCTCTGCTGCACCTCTGAATGTGTGTGGAAGTGTTTTTAAATTTGGGCTGCACTAAATGTCCTTTTGTTTGTATTGTTTTTCTCATATCAGTCTGCCCCAGGGCAGCTGTGACCACAGCAGTAGTTTATTACCACTGTGCATGGGGTGAATGAATGATGCCATGTGAAGTGTCTTTGAGAGTCCACAGAGTCGCTAAATAAAACCAGTAAATTATTATTATTATTATTATTTATCCATCCATCCAATTTCTTCCCCTTAATCCATTTCTGGGTTGGTTGGGGGTGGCAGTCAGAGTTGCACCCAGTACACAGAGCACCTGCCCCTCACTGATCCTCCTGCAGGTGGTGAGTCCACAGGAGCCCAGATCTTTCAGCGGGGGCTTCAGGCAAAGTGGGGTTAAGTGTGTTTCCCAAGGACACAATGGCAGGCTCCATCCTACAACCTTCAGGCCCGAAGGCCAATGCTCGACCAACGGAGCCACTGTTCCATTATCATTATTGTTGCACATTTGTATCGCGACTATGCTCTACACATAGACTACTTCTTTTCTCCACGTCCAACAGTGAACAGAGGAACTGTGAGCGATGACCTTCACACAATGGACAAACAGAGACATAACATGAAGTCAACAGGTCTTGGCGACTTCAGTTTTGGATCTGCGGTTGTGGTTATAATAACACGTTTCCATGTGACGTCATGTGACATAAACGTACTATTAAAATGCATATTCTGACTTCATTCTGCCTGAAGAGAACGCTGTACAAACTGAGAGACAAAAACACATGTGGCACAATAAAAATGTGTATATTTGCCATTACAGGCATGCTACACCTCCTTCCAGCTCAGAACCTTCAACTGGGTTAGACTACAACAAGATTACTGTTATAATCCACTACAGTCTACGCTATCCAATAAAAGCTGTCAAACCAAGGTGACACGTGGAAACCATAGACTATCATTGACTTTTCATTGAAACTGGACGCTCCTTAATGCTCTGAACCAATGCGTAGCTGGGAAACCAATTGAGCCAATGAAATGCTTTGACACACCGACACAGTTGATACACAAAGCGAAGCAGTGGCTGCAGAGTCCGAGACACGGACACTGTTTTGATACACGCTCCAACACAATGTTTCAACGCAGATTGCTTCAGGAAGAACCTGGGTGTTCTTTTCCCATCACTAAAAAGATATGTTGCGACAAATTGAAAAATAAGCGTTGTTACTTAACTAAATTGTCGATAGTTACTTTTCCCCATAAAGTATTCTGTTAATGCTATACTTTGTAACGCGCTACACCCAACAAACACTGTTATAAAAATATACCTCATTTAAAGCTCAGTACAGCCTGAATCCAGTCAAAACAGTAAGTGCAATAACCCCCTGCAAGTCTTGACAAGTATTTCAATGATTATAGGCTTTCTCATACAATGATTTCATGTTGTGGTCTGACTTGTTTACGCTTTTAGCTCACTGATGGATTCACAGTCCCTATGAGTCATTGTAGTTTCTTTCTTTATAATTTAATTTCTGATTTCCATTACAGTCATCTGTGCCAGCCTGAGAAGGGTTTTACACTAACTCCCAGAGCCGTCATTTTGAATGCTCTCATTCAAAACAATAGAATTCTGGGATGTTTATTTATTATTATTTTTTATTCACTTTATTAACTTTTACCAAGTGCTAAAACTGGTGAATATAAGTTCGTCTGAGCATGAAATAAAAAAGACATTTATTATATTGGAATCGCTAATGACTTTTTCACCAATGAAAACTTACTTATCCATGTATCCACTTGTTTATGCAGTATTTTTTGTTTTTACACTCAAACATAGTAACATTGCACAATAACTATTATTCACCCACTTTTGCCTCACCTCATATTACTAAAAAGGTTTGTTTTTCTCAACCATAATAAGCCTACAATTGTGGCTGTTTGACACAAGCTCTGAGATGATTGCTTTTAAAAGTCTTAGTGCTTTCTGTCGGACCCGTTATAAGTTGGATCGATGCCTTTTTGAATAAGAAAAAGGAGAGAAAAACGTGCTAAGTGCTCACAATTCAATGACTGTTCAAAAGCTTCTTCCCAGTTCTCATTAAATTAGTCAAAATGGAGTGAAAGATGGAACTTTATTGGATTCAATTGCACCAGCCCAGTCGTATTCCGTTAACACAACCATGTACAGTAGGCGTCATATGTTTAAGTTAATAAGATGTACAAAGCATCCACACATTCAGTTCACCGTTGTTTACAATCCAGTTTTTAATATTTAAATGAACTATAAAAAGCACATTAAAACATTTTCTCATTTTAGTTACAAAAAATGGGCTTGTGTTATTGCATTTTCACAGAAGATTTGGAACAGTGGACGTCGAAAATAAAAATACCCTCCCAAAATATATAAACTTAATTGTGTGACCAAGGTATATACAGGGCATATGATCCTTGTTTTCAAGAAAGTTTTTGAGGTATACAAACTGAAATGTAGGCCTGTCAGAGAAACAAAAACAGCAAAACGACAAATAGACTTAAATAAGAGAAAGATTGCTTCGAATAGCACAGGTTTACAGGGAGAAGGCTGCTTTGAAATTAACATGGGGACTGTCAATATATACAAGGGACATGAAATCAAATGTTCGGGCTGCTTGTTTTATCATGAAACAAAAATACACATAAAATAGTATTCACTTTATTTGGTAGTGTTTTAACGGCCCCAAATGTGCTGGAAATTTAACATACAAAGAAAAGCCAGAAGCAGATCTGATACACATGCAAGTTTTGAAAGTGGATTCAGAAATAACGGTATTGTACAAAATAATAATTACAAAGTTATTTAAAATTATCAAAATACACCTTCCTTTCTTAGCACCTCTATATACCTTTGTGTTTTGACAAAAAGCACCATAGTTTTTTTGTTTTTTTTCGTACAGCACCTGGAGAATCCAAAGTCGGGGCTCGCATATGGGCCCGGTCCCGTCGCACCCTCGTCTTGCCACAATTTCCATTTCACTTTCTTCTCCAAATGTCTTTCGCTTCTCCTCCAAAAACGTGGTTAAGTCGCGTTGGTTTAAATACAGAGACATATTGGACTTCTTTCATTCAAAACTTGCATGTGGCATAGATTAGGGTGAGGGCCGAGGATCATTTGGTAGTAAGGCAGTATCCAAAGTGTCTTCTCAGCTCTGGCCCCGTTAAGTCCTTTTTATAAAAACGTGTGTGTGTTTGAGTTGGGAGACTTAGCCAAGGAAGCATACAGGCCCAACCTCGAACCCAAACTTCTGGTTGGGATCCCCAAAGTCAGTCAACATAACGTCGACAATTGGAAGTTGATCAATTTTGGGAGTATTCACTTCCATCACAGTCTTTGAGTAGCCGCTCCTCGTCTGCAACAAGAGATACAAGCGAAAACAGACACATTCATTAAACTGCTGGATATCCAGGTGAATTGTGAAAAGTGAAGTCATCTTTGTAAACCAACTTGAAATGTGAAACCAATGCATGTCATGGTCTATGTCATTACAAGCAAAGATACATATCCCAAGCCTTTTTTTGTTCTACTTTTCATGATTATGGCTCACAGTCCATTCTCTACATATTCGAATTCTCTGAGAGTTGATTTTTGACTCACAAACGGTGTCAAAAATAAGTAAAGGCTTGAAATACTGTATGTCATTTTAGGTGTAATTAGTCTAAAGTAGATGGACTTTTGAATGGTAATCTAATGTTTTCCTGTATTTGAAAGCACTGGTCATAAGTATTACTCACGGATCAGTTTTGCCTCGATGGGGGTTGCATACAGTAACTAGACCACTTTATAGCATGAACTTATACATGTTTTATTGTTTTGGGGTTTTGTATTTAATGGAACGCAATATCTGTCCACAGGAAGACAAATCTACACACGGGTACAAAGAAAGTAAACCTGAACATGAACTTTACCCACACTGCAGAAAATTCTCAAAAAAAGGAAAAAAATATTTATCCGGCAGCAGCATTTTTAAGTGACTAATGTATTTTTCATTGGTAAATATTGTGTACCTGTGTAATAAATGAATGATTACAAGCATTATGCTCTTTGATGTTATTTTAGCAGTGTATTTGCCTCAAGTCCTCGCTCTGACGTATTCCTCTATTCCCTCCTTCAAGATTAAAGTTTAAAAATATTGTATTAATTATAAATGTTACTCTTTGAAAACAACAAGAGAATTGGGGTTTTTGAGGACATGTTAACTCCATAACTTCTCCCATGTTGCATTAGACGTTTTAATTTGAGGAATAATGATTCTGTTCAGTCTTCTTCAAACACATGAGAAACTAATTATATCCATTCAAACTTTGACGGCTCTTTCTTTACCTTTCATTTCAAATGTCACGGGACCAAATGTACTGAAAATCAGATGGATAATTGTCTATTCACGGTTTGCCACAACGATGCGCTCAAGATCAAAGTGAAGGATTCGCCACAGTGTTTTGAGAAGTCTCTCTTGCAGATAGTTTTCTAAAATATCCACAAAACAGTGATAGGATCTAGTATTATTGTGGCAAAGACCTTTATGTGCATGTAGTTGATTTTATTATTAGAACTTATTACAATGATTGATTCTAAAAAATACTTCATATACAGGACAGAACTGCAGCTTTCCTGTGTTTTGGATTTTTAGAACCATTATAAAAGTCATAACCAGTACTTTTATTTTCTGATAATATTTTGAGCATTTTAAAATCATCACTGTGGTATTAAATGATGCTGTGTATAGTCATCAGTATAGTTTATTATTCCAACACTTCTAAGCCAACTTTGTAAAGAGGTGGCTCCCACACACTTTCTGACAACTATTGCATTTGGAACAGAAGCTAATGTCATTGGTGGTGTTCACACAGAAGTTCTTTTTCTAAAATAACTATTTTATAATTACTACTAAGTAAAGTAAATAATTACTTTATTATTACTGTGATAATAACTATCACAAGAAATAATATATTTTCTAACTTTTCTTAATATGTTAGAAACTTTTAGCAACCCTTAAAATAATAAGAAATGCAATCTATAGATAGTTCCAATAATTTGACAAGGAAAATATGTGTTTGAAATTCAAGTAAAAACTCAGCTTTATTTTATTTTTAGAAGTGTGGAGGCCAAATCATGCATGTGGAAACCTCCTCGTCCTAAGCCGTTTTGAGAGATAGTTACGGTAAATCCATGGTTCCAGGCTTGGTGGTGTGAAAGTAGTTAAATGTGGCTGTCACTCACCGCGCATCCGTCCGACAGAGCCTTGATGTAGGGGCTGTTGTCGTAGGACATCTCCTCGTCGTTGGCCCCCAGGAAGCGTAGGGCCTTGTCGTAGCTGTCGCCGGTGGAGTCGTGCCAGGCCACAGACTGATGGCAGCTGTAGGTGAAGTTCTGTCGCGCTGAAGCAGTGAGCAGCCGCAGGAAGGTCATCTGCACCATGTTTATCCCGCCGCCATCTGCATCCACGTAGGACAGCTGCAGCCACAGATAACAACCACGTTACGATCAATAACATCCAACTTTAATATGATCTTAGGATAAGTCCCATGAGCTCTTTAAAGATGCAACTATTACAATTACTCAGTGTCATATTTTATTTAAAAAATGCACAGAGGTGGCACAAGCTTTACTAGTATAAATATTAACTCAACTAGTAAAATTTCAGCCTGATTTAAGGAAACGCATAAAAGTACAAGCTTGTGAATATGCTTAAGTGAAATATATAAGGTGATTTAAAAACATTTTTTTAATTATTGTTAATAAAAATAATTGAGGGACAATATATGATTTTCTGTAACACTTACACACTCCTCTGTTGAAATAGAATATGTCGATGCTGGCAGAGAATAGGACAATAAGCAAACGTACAGAACTTAGAAGTGCGGCTAACCACAATGAATTCACAGAGAAACACAGCTAATGATTTGTTTTATATCATCTGTCACAATCTGCAAAGTAACTAAATCATAGAAAGGAGAAAGTTCAGGTATTTGTATGGAGCTATTATTGTTTCAATAATATTTGTGTGTGCGTAAACAGATTTGTGTGTGCGTAAAAAGATTTGTGCGTGCGTAACCAGATTTGTGTGTGCGTAACCAGATTTGTGTGTACGTAAAAAGATTTGTGCGTGCGTAACCAGATTTGTGTGTGTGTAAAAGAAATATTTGTGCGTGTGTAAATAGATTTGTATGTACGTATCAAGATTTGTGTGTGCGTAAAAAGATTTGTGTGTGCGTAGAAAGATTTGTGTGTGTGTAAAGAAAAAAAAAGGTACGTTTTACACACAAGTTTTTTTTTTTACACACGAATCTTTTGACGCAGTCCTGCCTTCGCAGATTCGCAAGTGTAACTTGGACTGTGTGCGTGCGTAAACAGATTTGTGTGTGTGTAATTTGACATTTGTATCTGTAGCAGAACAATCTGTGTGTAAATAACCACGTTGTACGAAGAGAAGAACGGAAAAAAGCCAAAGTGCTACGCACAGGCTCTGTTTTACACACAAATCTCTTTTTGACACACCTCTGCCGCCAAGCGTGTGTCAAAAAGATTCGTAAGTGTAATGTGGTTGTTCTAGCAGTACACCAGCAGATGGTGCTGTTGTAGCTGGTTATTACCTACAAACCAGCTGAGTTTGTGGCACTAAAGTGTACTGTAGATAGAGAAAACCGAAGGATTTAAGAAGAAGAAAAGTTCAGGATGACAAGGAACACTAAAATTCCCACAAAATCCGACCTTTATGAAAGCTGTAGGTTCTCTGTCAGCTGTTTTAGTTTACTTTGAGTTCTATGGGGAAAATGTCTGTGTAGCCCACGTGAATTTAGTCTGCAGTACGCAAGAATTCTTCAGCTCCAAGCTAGTAACACCCTATCCAGTTATTATAATAGATCCATGTATAATACAGTGGTGTGAATGACAGGATTTTGAAAATAGGAAAAAATAGGTTTTGGTTTGCTTGCGTGTAGGTAATAACCAGCTACAACAGCACCATCTGCTGGTGTACTGCTAGAACAACCACATTACACTTACAAATCTTTTTGACACACGCTAAGCGGCAGAGGTATGTCAAAAAGAGATGTGTGTAAAACAGAGCCTGTGCGTAGCACTTAGGCTTTTTTTCGTTCTTCTCTTCGTACAACGTGGATATTTACACACAGATTGTTCTGTTACAGATACAAATGTCAAATTACACACACACAAATCTGTTTACGCACGCACACAGTCCAAGTTACACTTGCGAATCTGCGAAGGCAGGACTGCGTCAAAAGATTCGTGTGTAAAAAAAAAAATTGTGTGTAAAACGTACTTTTTTTTTTCTTTACACACACACAAATCTTTCTACGCACACACACATCTTTTTACGCACACACAAATCTTGATACGTACATACAAATCTATTTACACACGCACAAATATTTCTTTTACACACACACAAATCTGGTTACGCACGCACAAATCTTTTTACGTACACACAAATCTGGTTACGCACACACAAATCTGGTTACGCACGCACAAATCTTTTTACGCACACACAAATATTATTGAAACAATAATAGCTCCATACATTTGGGGTTCAAGTACTGATGAAAAACCACTGAATTAGTGCTTAACTAAAAATATTGAATTACTTGCCACCGCTGGAAATGAATCGTTTCAGTTAAAGGTGCTCTCTGTAACTTATAGACTGAACGTGCTTTTACTAAACTCTTAAAGTATGAAGGCAATTTCAGCAAAAGTTTTGGTTGACAAAAAGTTTATTTTAACAATTTGCAGTCGTCCGAGCTTATTCCTCCCTTTGTCACATGACTTTATAAGAACGTAACCCCGGAGACCATCGCAGTGAGCCGTCAAGAGCCACTGCGAGTTCTAATATGACATATGCACTCTGTTTTGAGCGTCACATCTTGTTTTTTTCCGTGATGTATGTACTAATCAACAAACAAGTCAGCAAATATTTCTTGTATTATTAAAACGCACTTTCCACATCCTCAGCTAAATGATATCTCTGCCCTATACATTTAGCTTACCACGTTCCCTTAACTTTTCATTGGTCATACTTAGTGTTGTGAGTTAATTTCTGCCTTTCAGAGAGCGTGCGTGGGCTTCAAAGAAAAAAAGCGTTTTGATGTTTTACCGCCACTTGGAGACAATTACATCTTGTGCTCAAAGTACAACTATTAAACATTGATGCGGTGTCTATAATGGAACATGCTGTGCTACTGTGCGTATCCATGTTTTATATAGCGCCTCTATCAGACGTGCGCAAAAGAAGTACATACTATAAATAGGTTTACTTTCCCACGATAATGAGGTCAACTTTTCACACCATCAACACTGTGATGATACAGAAGGTAATTAACTCATTCACTGCCATTGACGTATATAGACGTCAATCGCTTTTTTTTCGTTTTTTTCTTTCTATGGCTCGTCAAGGCTCTTGTGCATCCTGTGTCAACATTTCAGACCTGTAAACACTTTGGAACCGATCCTGTAGGGGGCAGAGGTGACACTGTGGCCAGATCCAGGGAGGGAGAAGGGGGCATGTGGTGCTGTGAGCAGCAAACAGCCAGAGGAGCAGCCATGCTTACACAGAGGACCGCGGATCACGATGCTAGTTCTTCAGGTTTTAGTTAACATGAGACTCCAGGATCCTCGGAGCCTTCCCCCTCCCACCTCGTCCAGCAGCAGCAGTGGCTCCTCCCCCCGTCGTCATGTGTTAAGTTGCTTTTCACTTCAACATGTTGCATTTACGAGTTTATTTCTCCTCTTTGTCTAATGTACTATCAGCCCCTCCAGGATTTTGCGCGCAATTGTTGATTGATGAATGATTATTGCGGGGTAAAATGCTTGATTACGCGGGACATTTTTCCAAAAGTTTCCCGCTTGAGTTTGGAGGCGTGTGAATCTGGCATGCAGCATTAGCTGCCAGGGAGCTATGGATGATGTTACCGTGTGGTTTATAGAAGGGACAGGGGAAGGTGATCCATGGCAGACCGGTGAGCGGGACCCATGATGAGCAACAAGTGTTAGATTTAGCGCACCATGTGCATTCTGCTGCGGTGCGTCTCACTGTGGAGGGTGCGTCAGGAGCGCGCCCGCTGCTGCTTTGGAACAGGGGGAGAGAGACTGACTCTGTTGCTCTGATCCCAGAGTCTGCGTGATTTTGCGTTCAAACATTGAGAGATTCTGGAGGGAGTGATAGCAATCACTGGCTTATACTATAGTAAAAATAAACAGCGAGTATTGAAGAGTTTTTTTTATCTCAATGTCATAGCTGCTGAAGCCAAAACACTTGTTATAATGTGAAAATGTATGGTGATTTTATATTTTTCTGTGTGTCGTAGATTGTTGACCCCAGGACCCCAAAATGCTGCAGCAGAGCTTGATTTGGATCAGCAGCTGACTTCTGCAGCTCTTCATAACTGATGAACTTCTGGATCCTGGATCTTGTTGTCGAACAGACAAAGCTGTATGCAGCACAATATTTCAGTGCACACACACAGCGTCTCCCATTCAGCAAAGAAAATGCATGGACAGTGACAGTCTAGCAGCTTTTTTGGTTTGACATTTCTCACTGGGTTTGTAAAAAAAAACTAATCTGGAAATGTATTAGGAGTGCAGATGAAGTAGCTTCCACACTTCAGCAGAATGTGGGTTCACCTGATTACTATTCTTTATAAACTAAAGTAAAATTGTTTCACAAAGTGTTCAGAAAGTGTTATTTTTACTGTATATTTGTGTACAAAGTGTTTTTATTGTATACAAGTTGAATATTGTATGTGTACATAAGACAATCCTTTGAGTGTATTGTGTGTACACGTTTAATTTGTTTAAAAATAATTATACATTAAAAATACAATTCAATGTATTGTTTCTGTTTTGTGTCATAGTAAGAAACTGTGATACATTGTAAAATATCAGTAAAGACCAAAAAAAAAACACTTTTCTGCTTGAAAATGTGCGTTTCACAAAAAGGCTGTTTTCTCCAAATCTTGGTCAGGAAACAGCGTTTTGTGTGAAAGTTACCTATGTTGCACTCTCAATTGCTAAAAAACTAAAAGGGTTAGAAACTGAAAGCCAAGGGATAGAGCTTTCATTTGATATGTTTCAGACTTGTTTCAACCAAGGGCTCACATTTCTATGCGGTTCGGAAAAACACTAAAAATGTCCAAAACCTTTGGCAGTATGAGGGATGCTGCTTTTTAAATGGCTGGCAGTGAATGAGTTAAGGTTCCTGGATTAAAATATATACAGTTCTTCAAGCTATATATATTTTCAAGTCCATTGTTTCATGATTGTGTTTTATTCTGATGTTTTTTTTTGTGCAGCAAGTATTTTAATCTAAACTGGATTGTAGTTTTGTGCAATTACATGTATCAGTAAATTTGTATGTTTTCTTTGTCTAGGGCTAGGAGCCTTAATTTGGATGAAATGGTGTGTTGAAAAAAGTAAAATTGAAAGGTACCTTTACTCATAGAATCATTAGAGACAGCACTGAGGCTAAACTTACTTCCCACGGTACAACAATTGTTTCATCCTGTTTAGATCTAATTTTTGTCTCACACGGTCCTCTATTTTTCACTTTTATATATGAATAAGAATGGGGAAAACAAGTGATAGAACCAAACTATTTTGAGAACAAGGAACAAGTTCAATGGATTTAATTATATTTTTTGTGGTCTCAATTTGAATGCTTTGTAAATGTTCTTTCACATTACTCTCAAATTTTATCTTAAATTAAATTCAACATAAGGGAGGAGGGAAAATCCTATTCCTTTTTTAACTTTATGTATAAATGTAACCTTCAAAAGAGGCCCTGGTTCATCGAGATCACCTTTTAGCAAGTCAATACGAACTGGATTTAAAGCAGTGAATTGGGGATGTTTAATGGGTGCCAGTGTGGGGTCAGTGGCTCGCAATTTCACAGCGAGTGCAGCTATTTGAGCCTATTAGCTGCTTCGCGCTTGCTAACCGAACAGGTATAAAGAATGAAATGGCAGCAGAGCGAAGTAGAGGGAAAATCCACTCACCATTTTACCACGCTTAAATTCACTGAACCACGACCCAGGAGTTTCTTTGGGCCACGACGATATTCTGACCTGCGGGCGACACAGGCCAAAAACATGACATCAGCAGGAACCACACAGGACACTGCAGTTATGTTTGTACATCCATGATCAAATGAGCACAAGTATATTGACAGGAGCAAGGGCGCCCACTTTTGATGAATGCATTAATTTTGAGAGGTTTTATAACGTAAAAATATACATGTTTAATAGAAGTGTTATTCACCATGATACATTTACAAGCAGGTACTTTATCACGTCTCTGAGACCAGTCAGTTTCTCAGCGTTTAAAAAGCAGTAATTACATCTTTGACACATCAAGAGCTGCTTTCACCACATGCAAAAGGTTTTCTCAACAAGGTAAACAAATGAATCTCCCTACATTAGTGTTGGCCTATTTCGAGTCCAATCGGAATACATTAGAATATACAGGTGAAATTTAGAATATTGTTCAAAAGTCCCTTTACTTCTGTATTTCGTATTTCTTGTAATGTGAAATGTTGTAACAATGTACTACTGTGAAATGTGGCAAGTGCTCCGGTGTATTCTATCTGCTCTCTCCGGTGCCCACTGGGGAACTCTTGTACAGTTATTATGCGGTTTAACTGCAAAAGGCAAAAAAACTGAATCTGAATCTTGATCTTGAATCTTTAAACTAATATGATAGACTCGGTACACGCAAAATTACATAAATCACTCCTGTAATCCACAATCATCAAAACACACACAAAGAAAGGCTGGGCACATGCCACTTTCCATGTAATTAATCTATGTCATATAGTAATATTAATTTGTATAGCAAATTTTTACAGACCAAGGTCACACAAAGCGCTTTAAAATGTTCAGACTTCAGACATGTTTCATTCTTTCCACACGATGAAAACGGAAGCGAGACGCCGGACACCCTGGGACATTAAAGCCCCCCCCAATCAACACCATTCATTGTCTCACTCATCACATTCATACCTATTGTGTATGTTTTTAGTCGTAGTGGAAACCGGAGCACCCGGAGGAAACCTACGCAGACGCGGGAAGAACATGCAAACTCCACTCAGAAAGGCCCTGTTCCAACCGGAAGCACGGCTGCTTTCCACTCAGCCACCTGTGTTTATTTTTACAATTATTGAAAGTGTTTTGAAAGTGTTCTGGGTTTCACTTTTAATTTAAAGCGACATTAAACATTTAACGTATTAGTTTGTGTTCTTAAAGTATTCCAAAATGTATTGAACATTCTATGTCACATGCATCAAATTACTATCTTGATGGGAAGCCAGTCTGATAGCTTCTTTAGTCACCTTCAGCTTCCAGATACCTAAATATTGGATGAGCGCTGATTACATTCCAACAGTTACGCATCTGTGAAATGACTTACCCCATTGGATTTCTTATCAGGGTAGATGCAGGTTTCGCCACCAGCTGTAAAGTTACAGTAAACTTTGAAAGAGTCTCCGGAGCAGCCCTGGTTTGGATCGATCCAGTACTCGCCTGAGGGAGAGGAGAGGAAGAGGATGAGCCAAAGAAACAAGTGATAAACCTCAATAAAGGCGTGCCGCAATGCTCCAGCTCATGTGTAATTTAAGGCTTAGTTTTGTGGAAGCAGGAGAATCTCAGAGGAGTAGGTCCCAGGTGAATGATGTCCATGTAAAGAAATGGATACTGTGTGTTGTCCCACGATCACAGGCCAAGCCACATGCATCCAACCTTTGCAAAAACATGAAAGTGATGTGTCTAACAATTTTTAAAAGGGTTCCACCATTCCCAAGAAAGATTTATAATTAATCAAAAGAAGTATTTATCTTTTGAGTCGTACAACGTTGGCTGTATAAAATGGTACCAATAAAAAGCAAGGTTGAATACATGCATTTGGATATTCACTTTAGAGTCCAATAATGAATGATAGATATGGAGGTAGGAAAGTCTGCAGTATCAACAGTAAAATTAGAAATGCTGCAAACACATCCATTTAAACAAAACAGTGTATATTCCTCTGCACCTTTGTGGGCAATTTCCCATCATTTCATGTATGACTGAACCATTAAATCACAACAAGTACTATTTGTTGTGAAAGCTATGCTTCAGCAGCACATTTATGCTGGATATACATAATTATTACCTGAATATAGTTAGAAGCAAACATTAAAACTCAACATCTGGATGAATCTGTTCTGATATAGTTTATATTATGGTGTGATCAATTTGGATTTTTTTGGGTTGATTAATAGCTGTTTTTCAAAAATGTTTTTCATTAACTGAAAGCAAATGATGATACAAACAGAGCTTTTGAATTGTATGGTCTGTGGATAACGGCAGAATGGACTGGATGATATATGATCTCCTTTTTTATTCATAGATGTGTGGGTTATCATACTACAGGTAAATACTGTAGGTAAAACATGTCTATATTGCATCAAACTACTAACAGCAGAGTTGTAGTCTCCGAACCAGACCTCCTCCGCCCCCTGGCTGCACCTAGAAATTCTGTCCATAAAGACGGCTAACAGAACCGGTGACAAAGGGCAGCCTTGGTGGAGGCCAACATGCACCGAGAACAGGTCTGACTTACTGCCGGCGATGCAAATGCACCTCTGACTCCGGCCCTCAGCAGAGAACCCTGGACCCCGTACTCCCGGAGAACCCCCCAAAGGACACGCAAGGGAACACGGTCAAACGCCTTCTCCAAATCCACAAAGCACATGTGGACAGGTTGGACAAACTTCCATGATCCCTCGAGTATCCGATGGAGAGTACAGTAAAATACTCTATGAGTGAACATTAAAGGGTAATAACATGCTTTAAAATCTGGTTGGCCCATATTCTGTTTTTTTATTTTATTTGTTATCATTTATAATCTTTGTATATCCATCATAAATGATGTATTAAGAAACTCCAACATGAGGGACAGTACTTCTCCCCTGAGTGTCATCTTTATGGACTTCCATAGCACCATGTGTGACTGATCGTGGATCATTGCATATGCCATCGTGTCGTTTGATGTGTGTGTCGTTAGGTGTGTGTGCGTCTCATTAGCAGTGTGTGTGTTGTTAGCTGTGTGTGCTGTGGGAACTCACCATCTGGGAACTCGGGATGGGCCAGCTGCAGGTCTTTGCACGTGCGGGCTGGGTTGTTTTGCGTGCCCATGGGGTACTTCATGCGCTCGATGTCCTGCTTAAGGTTGTTGAGCGAGCTGAAGATGTCCTCCATGCCCTCTCCGTAGTCCATGTAGCCTCCAGCCGCGTCAGACTGCATGTCACTTGAGCGTTTGGTCTTCTTAGGCGACTGGATGGGCAGTGGCTGGATCACCTCGCCAGGAGGACCCTAGAGAGTTTGGCCCAAGGGTTAGGGTTCAGAATGTGTGATTGGCCTGCCTTTTGAATGGGTAAATTTAAAGTTTAAAACGGCTCGAGAGATGATATAAAAGAAAAAAAGATATTATTCTGCAGTTTGTCAAAATTTATCGGAGAAAAGAAGGAATAACTAATTTGAAATAATAAAAATGAAAAAGGAATGTCTTTCAGTTGTGGCACAATCCAACTCTATGGGAAAGAAGCTATGTTTTCCCAGATCATGATTTGATAGTGATTAGATTCACAAACCCAACAAATCACTCTTATGTCTGTGTGGCCAACATAATGCAAATCTTTTTTGAATATTATCATCACATCTAGATATCTTCAAGGCAGAAAGAATTTGATCATAGTAGATAGGTGCTGACATAGAATAAAGTGGTATCTTCTGATATCTTTCTAAACAAGGTCTGACTTTTGATTATTAGTTAGTTAGCAGGAAAGACTGTTCAGCTGCCCAACCTCAATTTTTAACTATAGGCTCTTTGGGATGTGGTGATGTCACATGATAACAATCTATTAGTCAAGGTGCAATGCACCACAAATGCTTGTGGTGCCTTGCATACTACAGTGCTTAAGGCAAAGTTTAAGTTGTCCTCCTTCAGTTCAATAACAGATAGGATATAGATTCAGTGTAGATTACAGTAGTAAATGCAGTAGAATAGTACTTACTGGAGGACCCGGAGGGCCGACTGAACCTGTGTCTCCCTTGGCACCAGCGGGACCCTGTACAAAAGAGTAAACACAGTGTTAGTGTTTAGCTTGTTCCAAAAGTATGTCTGTAAAATCCTATAATTGCGCTGTCATAAGTATTTAAAACACTACTTACTGATGAACCCTTAGATCCCTTAGGACCTTGAGGACCCTGTTAAAAGAGGACATATTTGGCAATGTCAGTGTGTGCGTGTGCACGGGGCAGAATATAAATGAGATGTTTAACGGAGCAGGGACTTACGGGTAGACCAGGAGGACCAGGGGGACCGAGGGGGCCGGCAGATCCACCAATTCCCTGTGACAGGAGCAGAGACACGGGTCAGGGACAAACACGCAGCCAATGTCTGGCATTTGGGATTGAAGTAGAAAAGGAAAAAAGATGGACAGGTTATATGTCTAAAAATGGACTGTTTTATGTTATGTTGTGTTGTTTATCTATGTTATGTTGTATTTATTTATCAAAAGTGGGCCCAACTTTATTCGTGAAAAGTACCAACAGTACTTTTGGCTTTAGATAAAGGGATCAAAAACCAGACGCAGTGCCTCGCAAAATCCTCTACTGTGGATTTCACTTCACAGTTGTCTGTTAATTTGATAAAGTCTTCAAAATAAATAAAACACTTTATAAATTAATGTGGAAACTAGTAACACTTGAAACATGCTGGATACTTGGATACTTAGCTTATATAAAAAGCAGCACTTTTAAATAACAGAGTAGTTAAAAAAAGGGTAAAAAGTGCATCCTAGCTTCAAGGTGGAGTTGGAAATGTTAGTGTTGCGACATCAGATACAGGACTGAACTATAGTAAGAACCAATCGAGTACAGTACGCCCTTCTCCTTTTAATCTTTATTCTAAATGCATGAAGGTTTTCACAGGATCTTTTGACAAGAACGAAAAGTCTCACATCTCTCAGCACTGGAGCCAGACTTCTATCACAGAGCACAAGGAGTGACCACAACCGCTACAAGCACACTCTGTCCACGCAACGCAGAACACAACTCACAGAAGGAAGGCTCTCAGGCAAAGGTGCAAAATGAAAAACACTACATGAAAAATACAATGGCAAGTGAAAAATTCCTTGGTCTGTGCAAGTCTGTGACATGACGAATAATATGGACCAATATTTCATCACTTATTTGACTTTGTTGACAACAAAATAACCGTTAAGTATTGGAAAAAGACAAATGCAAATTCTAAGTTGAATGAACAGTAATGGATTGTGCCAGTTTTACCAAACTCAAGGTTAAAAAATAAACATTGCTTGGTCGGCAGTGATGTGTTTACTACTTGCTGTGGCTAATTTCCAAAGAGACAGCAGGGAAAAGGGCATAAATTGTTAAAAAGCAAAAGTAATGTTCAAATGGATGGAGCTCTGTGTGACCCGTGTCCATGCAGCTGTTACGGATTTGTCTTAACTGCTGCACAATGTATGAGGATGAATATATATTATTGGCATTATAGATGGCAAATATGTATGAATAAAAATCACAGATTTGACAATTGGAATGAAATCTTGTGGAGCATTGCAAAATAATGGATATCTTTGATAATGGAAAAAACTCATTTGGATATTGTACAGTTTAAGAGTTCTCTTATCATAATTAATGATCATTTAAAATGATATACCACTGACAAACAACATTTCAGAGAATTTCTAGAAAACCATATTTTAATATAGTAATGTATATATTCAACTGTCTACAGCTAAAATAATATTCCATTGCAAAGTAAATAGGAAACATCTATATGCCTGTACAAAAATGTACACACAGTAAAAATCAGTAAGAATCTGAATAATATTACACCAGAAAATGCAAGGTGAATGTGAATGCTGCGATCACTTACATTGTCACCTTTTCCACCAGGGGATCCTTGTGGTCCAGGCAAGCCACGGTCTCCCTTCTCTCCCTGCTCACCGGGGGGTCCGATCAAACCAATCAAACCTGGGTGACCCTGTGAGACAAGGTAGAAAATGCTTATATTATAAAAAAGATTTCATACTGTATTTATCATAGTAATGACAATAAATGTGTGTAATTATCAATTGTTTATTAGATAAATTATTGTAGCCTTCATGTTTTGTCCAAAATGCTCCAAACCAGTTACAACCAGTGTATGCAACCAGCCCTGAGGACAATGGCATTTCATCACAACATGAATCTTAGCTATTATTGCATTGTCGTCTCTGCCAGGGGGCAACATATCACAAAACATAAAACCACAGCTGATTCATTGCACAAAGATGACGGTTTCACAATAAAAAGATCCAATAATTTGAAAGCGTTTTTCCCGCACCAGTTTGCATTTATTGTTCCACTTTGGCCATCACTTCAGAATGCTGTTGGCAATTTTAGACAGAGTAATGATCGCTGTCAAAATATCATACGTACTTATTTTTCACTAGCAAATTTGACAGCGAAGACGAGAGCGAATCTACAGAGATTAAAGCCATATATCACATCTAGTTTCATATTCAATCAGGTTTATTCTTTTGTTTTTTGTACAAACCATAAAAAAATGTAACCTAGTGACTCCCAATCAATGCTGTTCACTTTGCAATTATAAAAGCTGTAGCAGTTGCATTGAGGCATAATTGACAAACTCAGCCTCGGTGTTGAAATCATTTGGAGTTAGAGGAATCATACAGACCTTTTCCCCCTTAGAGCCGGGGTCGCCTTTCAGACCGGGAAGACCAGGGGGGCCCTATCAAACAAGAGAGTTTCATTTAGAAATAGAAGCTTTTACTGCTGTCTGTAATATTTCAAAGTGGCAGAAAAAGTTGTGACTTTGGGAGGAAAAAAAACAAAAAGGAAAAGGGAAAAACTTGAAAATGTATTGAGGGTGGAAACATGAAACAGTTTGTGGCAAGAAGGCAAGAGGCAAAGACGTGCTACATCAAAAGGCACAAAAGCAACGGCATAAAAAAGCTGAAAAGTCTAAACTATACACCAGTGTCTGCTCCTGCCGCAGCTCCGGCTCCTCAGCAGGGTTAGCACATTTGTATAGTGTTCATCAAGTAGTCTCCATATTTAGAGAAAAACATGTTTATATTCTTGTCCTGGTTTAGTGAGAACTCATTTCAAACGTAAACCTCGGTTTATTCTTTTTTTTTTTTGTATAAGCCAAAACATACCAAAAACTACATAAGACTTGGTTCCTATGTTCAGATTCAGAACATGTTTTTGATCCAGACTCAATTGTTTATAATTGTTAATCATTATTTTTGCTTTTTCCTGGTTACACAAAGGCTAAAATGGATTATTAAAAAACAAAAATAATAGTTTTATATCTACTCAGGTAGTGAAATTAAGCATTATGTTATCACAGCTTTATAATTGATCCAGATTGTTGTGTAGTAGTTTATAGTCGTCTTCTAAGATCTAGCAGTATTTAGAAAACACTGCCTGCTCTACCAGCTTAACAAATTATCAAATTGCAATCTTCAATTATTGTCCTTCAAGGCAAGATTGTTTTGGTGCGATAGGGAGAATACAAGCCTGGCGACATTTTCAGAAGTAAAGATAAAATATAAATCTTGCAGTGAGACATCTCCTGTATTTGAAGCTTCAGAGACAGGTTCGGCATTCTGCATACTAACCATGGGACCGGGAGGACCGTCTTGTCCTGGAGCACCGGGCAGACCTTGTTCACCCTAGAAAAAAAACACACACATTTGATTTCAGTTCAACATTTTAATCATGCTGAACATTCTCTGGCTTGTCATTGATTTTGTGACCACGAGATGTTGATTAATAGCCCGAAGAATGGGGAATAAACAGGTGAATGTCAAATATGAGCCAAATGGATGTATTGATTATTCTATGAAGTCTCTCATCCTGCCTGAGCAACTACAGTGATTGTGAAGCCAGCGTCAATATTGGAAAGTATATTAACTATAGATGTACACTGCATGCCATTCGAGATTTGAAGGAATTGTGTGGAGGCTTACAACAGGGCCAGGGATTCCTCTGAGACCTTCGGGACCTTGTTTTCCGGAGGGTCCCTGGGGTCCGACTGGTCCGGTTTTACCTGCGGGACCCTCTGCTCCGGCCTCTCCCTGTTTGGAAATACAAGAAAATCAGATAGCAGCAGGTGGATTGTTGCATATATACATAAAAGCTTAGGTGAATGCATTTTCTTCAAAATTAAAACAGCTAATGACAATTCTGTTTAGGCTAGAGCAAGTCTATTCGATGTGTAAAAAAATATAGTCACATTGTCTATGGGATGAACCACCTTATGAATTAATTTATTCCATGGCTGCTCAATGGCACAGACCAGCCATGTTGGATCTTGCACCCTTTGTTGTTTACTTTTTTATTTACTCTCAAAAGTTCACTTGTAGAAAAAGTAGAGCTTTTATCATTTAAAGGAATTATTAAGTCACTCTGGGGATGGAAGGAGAATGAGAATATTGACAAAACTCTAGAATGAGCCAAGACCGGCGGGAATAGAGACATAAATAGCATAGAAGCCCTTTTTCTACCATTTGTCTTTGTCTGAAATAAAACCAAAATCTGAGTCCATCCAAACTGATTCCATAAATCTAATCAGTATAAAAATAGATTTTTTTTTGCATTTGGGTGGTATTTTAACTCTGGTCTAGAGTCTGGTCGTAGTGAAGGGGGTGGGGGGACATTAGGGGGACTTGCTGATTCTGTGTAAAGAGTGAATTGATTTTGTTACCTTAGCGCCCTTCTCTCCTTGCCTGCCCTCTGCACCAGCAGCTCCTGGAGGTCCCTAAAGAGGAGCAGAGGACAAAGCTTCAGCATTTCAATCAGCCTCCTACGTAAAGGTGCTTTGTTCACACCAGGGACAGAGCATTGCTGGTCATGTGGACTTAATATGAGACAGAGCAGTAGACTAAAGGAAGATTGACAACACATACACCAATTTATTCTTGTATAGCCCTAAATCCCAACAGTATAGTCATCTCATAGGACTTAACAAAACTGTTAAAATCGCCAACACAGATTAGAGAATCAACAGTTAAGACACAAAACATATAGGACACATATGTACTGTATTGGTCCATAGGGAGGGACCAATGTCAACAGAAATATTACAGTCTGTTGTAAAAGTGTTGTGAATGTTGTCGTTCCCACAAAGCTGCCATGGTAAAAGTCATCGTTCACAACAAATGTCATGCATGCCGATCCAAACTGTCAACATCATTTGATTAATTAATAATTGTGATTCCCATATGAACCAAATGCTATTTCTATGGTATACTGCTAATTACTGCACACTGGTTTTGCACTGGTCAAGACCGGAGTGGAGAAGATTCGTGGTCTGAACCAAGCGGCTACTCCATCTCTGCTGCTGTGAGCTCTCTTCTTGCTCCACCCAGATGCTACTCCACCTCTGCTGCTGTAACCTGTCCTGCTCCACCCAGACGCTACACCACCTCTCTTGCGGTGACCTGACCTGCTGTTGCTTATTATTACTATTGTTAGCTTTTTTAGAATAATGAAATCATTTGTTTTGTTTGTGTCATGTGTCTGTCTATTTGTACCTGTGTCTGTCTATATGTACCTTTGTCTTTGTCTATATGTACATTTGTCTCTGTTTTATATATGTACCTATGTCTCTGTCTAAATGTACCTGTGTCTCTGTCTATATATACCTGTGTCTCTGTCTATATGTACCTATGTCTCTGTCTATATGTACCTGTGTCTCTGTCTGTCAGCGGCACGGTGGCTGAGTGGATAGCACTCTCGTCTCTCAGCAAGAAGGTCCTGGGTTCGAATCCCGGTCGGACCAGGGCCTTTCTGAGTGGAGTTTGCATGTTCTCCCCGTGTCTGCGTAGGTTTCCTCCGGGTACTCCGGTTTCCCCTACCACTAAAAATGTGTCCAATAGTTCTAGCATGCGCTTCCTATACTGGCGACCCCGCTCCCATCTCTGTGTGGAGTGAGAGACAAATGCCCAAAAAATTAACAATTGTAAACCGCTTTGAGACTCAGATCTGCAGTGAAAAGGTGGTATATAAATAAATAAAAAAATTACTACTACTACTACTACTGTCTATATGTACCTGTGTCTCTGTCTATATACCTGTGTCTCTGTCTATATGTCTCTGTCTATATGTACCTGTGCTCATCCTCATGTCTTGCTGGTCCATGGTATTTGTCCCCTTTTTGTTAGTCTGTATTCCTGGTTCCTGTGTTGGATTTTTGAGTTTGGTTTTCCCTTATATCGCTAGATATCTTTGTGAACACATGACACCAATGGGGTTTTTGAGCACACTGTCACAATCAAACAAAGTTCAAAAATGACGCAGTTGAATTCATTGGAAACTTTTCAGGCTGTAGATGTTGTGCTTGCTGGACCATCATAGTGATCAAAACAGATTTATTTAAAAGCAGCTGCCAGTAATCGTTTCCGTTATTGTTTTAGTTGGTTTTGAGCAGAAAACATTCATCCTGTTCCCTTTTTATGACCCATATAGTTGCCTGAGCCCCTAATGTAACTAAATTTGAAAACAAAATAAAATGGTTGAAAATTGTTGACAAAACATAATTATTCATGGATATTGCCTAAGAATAATGTATCAGTTCAAGAACCTTCACAACCATGAAGGATCAACTGAGGCAAAATTAACCAGATAAGTTTCCTGTAGTAGTGATAGTGTATTGTAGTGGTGCTATGCATTCTGGTTGTACTTAACACTTTTTCTTTTTGTGCAAAAGGTACATTTTCTCTTTAAATTTTAAAAAACTTGCACCCACTTTAATGGTATTCAAATAAGTCCCTATTAAAGTAAAGGGTGGAAACCAGGCCTTGTGTGAATAGCTGTGGACATGATATTGACCGAGCACATGGCCACACACATAGTAGACATCACAGGACTCATGATGCAGGTTTACAGGTCGTCTCTTTCGTTCTTAGTGATTTCTTTCAACCTTCCTTCCTGCGCCTCCTCTTCAGGACTCTCCATCCAAATGCCCAGCTCTGATTCGGTTCAACGACTGCTTGAGTGCTATTGACCGGCCACATAATGCGTGTTCTCCTTGCGCCTCGCAGCTTTCATCTTCCTGGTGGTGAAGTGCAGTGCTCTTGATCAGCAACAACAGAAGGTCTTTTCAAGTTTTGGAGTAACCCAAAACAGGTCTGAAGATGCTTTTGCTATTAAGACCGGAGGAAACATGTTTGCCAACGCACGTGTTGCCAAGGACATGCTTTGCTTGGAATGTATGATATACAGTATATGTTTTAAAATCTGTAATGAATTACAGATACTTTTACTGTCACACTGTGGAAAAGTCTGAGTAAAAGAACAGCATTTAGATTTGAAAATTTGTCCACTTGATTTTGACGTAGAAAGTGCTTAAACAGGTGCTGCCTCACTGTAAGCGCAGCACTGCGAACCGGAACACAGCTGAGCTGCAGGTGCAGATAGTTTCTGTTTATTTCAACCTTTCCGCCTTTGGGCAAAAGTCAACGTCAATAAACAAAGTACACCACAAATGTTGATGCATATTAGAATGTTCACTCAACATTCATGAGTAATTAAATCAAATGTAAATGTAATATTCCACTCTTTCATAAAAAGTTAAGAAATAATTGTTTTACAGGTTAATTTTTTTTCAATAATTATAATTTAACTGCAAACCCTCTTTACCGCGACTTAGCCAAAAAGAAAACTGTTTTTGTGTCTTTCTGGCTAAGTCTGAGAATGCAATTCTTAACCAAAACAACAAATTTGGAAAAGAACCGTTTCAATTTCCAGTGGGCCAAGTGGCGAGATGGCACCTCTGCTGTCTGCAAAGGCAAAACAATTCTTGCTTTGGATTACGCATTCACACCATCAGGCATGGTTTGTCTTGGCCTCTTTTTCTTCCCAGTGCACGACAGATAAAATGGCCTTTCCTTACCATAATCCCTGGGCCATTTAGGTGGAGCATATGCTGATACCGTGCTTAATACCCAGAATGCAAATTTCAGTGGAGACATTAGGGAAGCAATCAACACGGGTTTAAAATTCAAGGCATGAGCTGATTCACTGGACTGAGTCAGAGAGTCTTCCTTTGAAATGCACTCACTTAGTTTTCTCTGACATTCTCCGTGGTCACAGCTCAGTTTGAAGTGGCCGATAAGCTATGCATTATATTGGTAATATGTCAATCTAAGTGTACTTTAATAATGACGATTGTATGAAAGTATCCTCTGGATTGAGGCATCCAGACGAGATAACTCTTTTATCTTTGATGTAGACTCAGTTATCTTAAAGGTACACTGTGTTATTTTGACTCCCATCTAGCGTTGAGATCATATATCGAAGTCCCCTGGTACTACTAGTCCTGCGAAGGACATTATGTTGTGATGACAGTGGTCCCCAACTCCCGGTCATTCAAACCGGGGCCAAGAAAATTGTTCTTTACTTTGATAAAATAACCGGATCTCTCCATACGTCTTTTGTCACGTGACATTGTAGCGCTCTGTATGGAGGCTGTGGGGTTTTACAAACGCGGTGTGAAAAGAAAAGATCAGTGGAGGAACGGGATGTCTGTGGGGGCATAAAACCCTGATGATCAGAGAAGCCAAGACGTTGCCTTGGACATGGGCATACATACACAGCCGCGGCAGAACTGTGGCTAAAAACTACAATTATAGCTTTCACCATATCTCCAGGTAAGAAAACTCACGCTGTTGATAAAGGTATTCTGGCAATTGTTATTGTATAAATGAGGCTTGAGGCTCCTGAATAAGTTTAGTTGAAACTTGTGGACATAGTAGTTGGACTGCGCTCGGAGCAGGCGAGAACATCCTCAGACCCGTGTTTCAGATTCTGCCTCTTTTGCATAACTGTCTATGTGAAGAAAGTTACTCTCTCTCTGTGTTAAGAAAGTTACTGTGTTAGCTGTGTACAAACACCAGCTATGTGCCTCCTATTATTTCAACTCTGCCTTTCGGTGCTTGTGGTTTGCGATGTTGACACGTTTGCTGTTATGACCATGAGTTTCTAGATTTTTAGATAATTATTTTTCTAAAAGATTGTTGTCCGGGTAGTGTGGTTGGGTAGTGTGGTCCTCTATGTTTCCTACTTAAAACTTGTGAGGGCACAATGAAAGCAGTGATATTAATAGCACCTGTAAAATGAAAACGTGATTCTCGCATCCTTTTTGTCCCTTATTAACCACTGTATTTCAAGATGGCGCATCTATGTTTTAATTTTTGTTCAGTCCTTGTCAAATATGTAGTTTTGATGTCAGTGACTTCAATTGTATTTCATTTTTACAAGAATGCACATTGGTGACTATACAAATTCACTATCACTTATGTGATGGAACTTGTTGATAGAACTTGTTGTTCTAAAAACAAGTCAAGCTCTGCTTTTGATGAGCAAATAATGTTGTAACATGATGAAGAACCCAGAAAGGTAGATTCTACGGAATATGTTTCCCTTAAAGGAGCATTATGTAGAAATCGTGTTGCTGCAATAGTCCATGATATATTGTATGTGTTCCTCTCTTCTTGGCGTCCATGTTGCAGAGGCTGTCAGTCAGCCTCCAGATCAATAACAGTCACACTCACTATAACACTATGGCTTTCTTCCCACTGCTACAGAGACGCAAACGAGCTTTAGCCACAATGGGCCTATTTTTAAGCTAAGCCGTTTCAATTTCTTGCTAAGAAATAAAAAAGATTCATGATTATCACTTCGTTACATCCCTCTTGCAGTGGGCTTTGCGGGGGCTTTACTCTGCAGACAGCCCTGACCCCTCAAATCTCACACTTTGTTTTCCCCCACTCCACTTTTAATGAAAATGAATCTCCACTGCTCCACGGCCAAAGTGGAGTTATTGGAAGCTGTGGAGGAAAGTTTTGGGGGGCTGGCAGAAAACGTGCAATGCCAGCAAGCAGTTGCTTTTTGACTTCAATTGCTTTTGAAAAGAGAAAACAAAATCACCAAAAATGTGTCTTATTTTGACAAATGAGAATCTGCTTTTGCAATAGAATAGAACAACACAAATGCATTTTCTTGCAAGAATAATGATTTTTGGATGTATTGTCCTCATAAATACAGTATTAGACAGGCACAGGTCAAGACAAATTATTGGACTGTGTACTCTGATATCGGTTAAGCTGATATCTATGTGTTAATACTATGCAAAAACATGACCTGCCATAGGATAACTATGGATGAAAATTAGCAGACCTTACTCAAGTATATTTAAATGTTGGAGTAACACAATTAATTAATATGCAATGTCCAAATTTAAAAAAATTGGGCATTGCGATTTCTGCCACCCTTGAATTCTTATTTCAGGGGTGGTAGAAATTGTTTGTCTCTTTAAAGAACAAGAACAGTCAATTGCAATTTTTACTATGTACAGATTGATATTAATGAATGTCATTGGATTTGAACTGGTTGATTGAGGGCGTCCACCCACTTTCAACAGGCCACTATACACTCTGGCTTTTTAACGCAACACACTAGAAAGGGTTTACAGTTTGGGCATGCCATTTTCATAATAACAATAAATAGTGGATAGTAATGACAACGAGGCAAGAGGGCAGAATACAAAATGTCTAACATGCCTATATAATATGAAAACGAATATTCATCCATTGATAATGACAAGAAGGATAATTGTTATAATTGTTATGATCAATGACATTAACCATAAGTTATTACTATTGTTATTTGTCAAATGTGAAATGCTAAAACCTCTTTATTTGCCAGTGCTGCAAATTGTAAACTAAGGCTGGTGATTGTATGTTGACAAGTATAGCTACAGTAGGATAAACGTTAACTCACAGACATGTACAAGTATATAGTTTTGAAACTAATACAAAATACTCAGGAAGAATTGTTTTCTGTTTGATAAAAATGTAAAAGCAATGTATAACTGTATCATCTTTAACTGCAAATGTAATTTTACATGAACAAGGGGTAGGCACTTATAAGCTTTTGCTTCAATCTACTCCCTTTGAGCTTCATTAACTGTATGATTGTGAAACATTGGAGGAAGAAAAATGTTAACTGCTCAAATAAACTAAAACTAACTAACTAAAAAAACTTTTACCTGTTCTTAGCAATCATCCAAACCAATATTTTTGTACGATATTAGAGATGGAACACAACTTTCCATAGTGCTGTGCAACCCCTGTTTTTGTTCAAGCAACAATCAAACAACACATTATCAACGCCATGAACCATCTGTGCATCTTTGCTCTACCATCCAAACAACTTACTCGTTTGCCAGGTGGTCCAGGTGGGCCCGCTTCGCCGGATGGTCCTGGGGGTCCCTACAAACACACAGAATGTGTAAAGCACCATTACAACATATGAAAAGGATTACTTGAATGAATGAGTGCAGAGATAGGTTTTAATGACACCTCTGCTTGCATCAATGACTCCCTTGTTGCCGCTGCCAAAAAGACAATATCACAGAAAAGAATATTGACATTTTGGGAATAGGATGCCCTGCCATAGGGACTCCAATTGGAGCCAAAATCTAAGAACGATAAAGCACTGGGCCGACCGAAATGACACTTATTGTGCTCCTCAGACACTTTCATCCATTATTGCAAAGGTAATTAATAAGCAACTGAAGCTTTTTGTAGCATTTGTAAAGGTAAATATTTCACAGCGCAGTCTGGAGGTGGAGACTTATTCAACTGGATGTGCTTGGCATACAAAACAGAATGAGAGAGAAACACTCATATCAGACACCACAGTAGAGAAACCACATCACATTATTTACCAAGAATATATGAATAGATTTAATTATGTAGAGAAATATATTGTATATATTGTTATGAATATAGTTAGAACTTACTGGTTGTCCGGATTCACCATCTTCTCCCTTCTCTCCAGCCTCTCCGTCAGTTCCCTGCACAACACATTTTTTTATTTATTTTTTAAATCACAACATCGAGACATTATAATTATGTCTTGTTTCAAAGTCAAACATTATACTTACAGCTACACCAGGCTCTCCAGGAGGTCCAGGGTCTCCAGGGAATCCAACAGGACCCTTTCAACAGAGAGAAATGCGTGCAAACAAAAATAAATGTAAAACATTGGAGGCAAGGATTTCAGTGCCTTTGGGCGATGGTTTAAGTACATGCTTAGTAATTCACTCAGCCATTTAGTCCTACCTATCTTCCCTCTGTGTGGCTAGCATAATGGGCTTAATGATAGTGTTACGATTCCAATGGGAAAAGTGTAACTCTATATCATTAGCACGGACAGGAAGTGTAATTCCCATCAAATATAAGGGATTTTCCGTATCAAATATATTCTGGGATAAAATATATATTCTAGGCAGGCTGATGGAGACTATTTTACATCCATACATTAGCCAGTGTGACTAAGTGCCAGATAACAGCATTTGCTTTACTTACAGGGTTGCCCTTTGGACCGTCATCTCCGGGGGGGCCCTTAGCGCCTGCAGGGCCAGCAGCTCCAGGGGGTCCGGCTTCACCCTTCTCCCCCCTTTCACCTTTGGGTCCCTATAGAAGAGCAGCAGAGGTGTGAATTCATTAAAGCAGTTCCAAGGGGAGAAGTGAACAGGTAACAAACACCATGAGTTCTCTGAAGGGGGCATAGGGGAAGTATGAAAAAGTAAAAAAGGCACTTGTACAAGTGTAAATAGGGACTGCACTGCTATTTATACATAGCTCTGAATTAAAGTTGTAAGTAAGTAATCGCCTTTCACAGACCAGAGTCACAAAGCGCTTTACAATTCGGGCGTTCTGCTCTCCCAAAATTTCATCCACTGAGCGGCGCTGTGATCAAAAAATGACACCGTTTGTTGCCCAGTTCACTTCCGGTTGATTTCATACAATGGCGAATATGGCTCACGAAAACAACAAACGATTGACAGTGCCTGAATTGCGTGAAAGGTTGAAGCGAAAGGGTATTTGCAGTGTGGGAAAACGAAAGGAGGAATTGTTGTTGCTAGTTCAACGAGCGGATGGTGTTTATGAAGATTTAGAAGAAGATGACAGCGAGCAGAGTGAACGAAAACGGCTGTGTGTGCGAGTGACAGATGGTAACAATGAGAATGAAGTTCAGCTAAGAGGGAAGAATGTGAATTGGACGGATGATTTGCGCGATATGCCACTAGTTAGAGACGGGAATGTATTTGCATACAGAAAATGACGAAAACACTCAACCATTTAGAGAAAATGCGCCGGGCAGAGAGAACCGGAAGTTGCGAAGGCAAGTGTTACCCATAATGCAACGCAAAATTCAGTCGCCCCCCCGCCCATCGGATGGAATTTTGGGAGAGCAGAACGCCCGAATTGTTGTGGGCATTTGTCTCTCACTCCACACAGAGATGGGTTCAAGGTCGCCAGTACAGACCTGTTGTGCATGTTTTTAGTCGATGAATTCGAAGTACCCTGAAGAAACACAGGAAGAACCAAGCCCCGGTGATCCAAGATGGCGCCGTATTCAAATGAATGGCTTGTGCTCAATAGCGCATACTTCACGGGGACCGGGAGATTAGCAGAACTCGCCTATATTTGGGAATCGTCTGGTCTTCCCGGTTCTGTGCAGTGGACGAGCTCCCATGATGCGTTGCGCCAAATATGCATGTGTGGCTCTTGTACACGTGCACAGAGGGGCTCGGCTGTGCTTTGACCTATTAGCGCTGCTGATCAAAGCAGCGGTAGAGCGGAGTCAGAGCGGGAAGGAAAGGAGCAGAGTTTGTGGCAGTAAAGAGGGAAACAATCAATTGTTGAATTAAAATAAATTATGCAATGCACAGATGTATAAAAAATGGGGAATTGTATATGATCCCAGTTATGTTTTATTTTCTTTTAACATGGATTAGGAATCAAAACATCTGAAGTTCAACCATTATATATTCATTTAAGTCTAATACATGATATCTAATATTTTTTATTGCACAGACTATATTTTTAACCTAAACATGTTTCCACACTTCTGTCTTTTGCACATCCTGAGCGATTCTATCTAGGCCAAATATGACAAGTACATTTCTCTTTTGTGAGATCAATAGTTTTTCTTATCTTATCTTATTTGCTTGTAAAAGCCTCCTGTGAACTAGTGTTGAATGTGCATGCGCTAGAACACTTACAGCAATGCATTTGGCTGTCCAATGTTATTGCTTTGTCCACAAAATAAATAAGGGGGGTGTTATTTATACTCTTATTTTAAAGTAACTATTGCTGGTTGAACTTGGGGTAAAGATATAGCCCTGTCATAACATCAGGTCCTTTGTTCTAACATATACAGTACATACCGTATTTATAAATGTTTTTATATTTCTCTTGACTAGACAATGGCATTAGGAAGTAACAACACTTAGAGAGATTTAGCTAAATAATGTTGTACTTAAGTGAATCACTAAAACTTTCATGTATATATATATATTTTTATTTTTAAACTCCTTCCACGTCCTCGTGTAATTATGCAGCTGACATTTCACTTTGTGGGTGATTAAACTCGACATATTTTCATCTTACTTGATTAATTGAATAAGAGTTTGTGCGACTTGAACCAGCAGGTTTTTTATACAAATGATATTTCTTAAAATAGAAAAAAAAGTTGGCATTTGAGAAACTTTTCAGCACCTTTGTGAATGTTAATGATTCCTTTGTAGTTTGACAGGGACCAGAGGACATTTGAATGCTGGTAATCACTTTGAATCGGGGATAGGCAATCTCCTCACTCAGCCTCATGTGCCCTCAGTAATGACAAGTTAAAGAGCTATTGACGACGGCTCAAATGTACTTTGTTTTTTATTTTGTGTTTTTTTATGCAGCCTGTTTTCAACCATCCTGTTGCCTTGTCTTCATTATAGTGTCCATGTTTTATGTCTCAAACTAGGCTTCACTGCACCCTCTCTTGTGTAGGGATGTAGATTTGTGTTATATTCATCTTTTTTCTGCTCTCGTCCATCCATTAAGTTAGAAGTACTGTTGGATGAATGTGGAGGTCATTCTCCAGTTATTGTATCATAAAAAATGCAACTGTATCCAAGTTGTATTCCTTTTTCTTCAAGCAGATCAACTGTTGGTGAAACAATCTTTCTACTTGGATGTTCCCATCTCCTCTACCACCCGTGAAACGGCTAAAGATAAGATAAACTTTATTGATCTCTCAACAGAGGAATTGACAGGACTTGGAACTGCAAGTGAAGCTCTCAAGTTTTAAAGGAAGGTAATACATGTCTTGACATGTTTGTTGTAACCAATAAAGCTTCTCCAGAAAGTGTGATGGGACCAAGCCCCAGCGATACAAGATGGCGTCCTATCCAAATGAATGGCTTGTGCTCAGTAGTGCATGGGACCGAGAGATTAGCGGAACTCGCCCATATTTGAGCATTGTCTGGTCCTCCTGGTTGTGTGCAGTGGACGAGCTCCCATGATGCGTTGCGCCAAATACGCGCGTGTGGCTCTCATGCACGTGCAGAGAGGGACTCGACTGCGCTTTGACCAATCAGAGCTGCTGATCAGAGTAGCGGTAGAGCGGAATCAGAGCGGAAAAAAACGAGTAGAGTTTGTTGCATTAAATTGTGGATTTAAAGAAAAATGAAGGATTTGATAAGAAAAAAAGTTCAGGATGTCAAGGGACACTAAAACCCCCACAACATCCAACCTTTATGAAAGCTGTAGCTGTAGAAAGCTGTTTTAGTTTACATTGAGTTCTATGGGGAACATTTTCTGGGTAGCCCACGTGAATTTAGTCTGCAGTACCACAGGTGCCCCCTGTGCCCAGCTTTAAGCTACTAAAACCCTATCCAGATATTATTATAGATCCATGAATGGAACTGATCAGGTATTGTTATATCAGTGTATTGTAATTATAATTATTATTGTGTCAGGGATGAAGCAGACAGAGATGGATCGTGGTGCGCTAATACTAACAATTGTATTCTTTAAGCTTTTGTTGTTGTTACATCTACTGTCTGTGAAAAAGTTAAAGTAACAATACTTTCATTGTGATGCCCAAATAATCATAACATGCATTTCTTTCTACTGCATTACTGTGAAGGAAGGTTCTTTATTCCAATCCTTTCCTAATCTTTCTTGAATAGTGAATGAGATTCTTCCTCGTTGCAGTTAAGAGTTTGGGAACACAGTTTTAGTTCTCTTCTGAATTTGCAGCACTAAGTTAAAGAGCTGTGCTGAGTTGGAAGTAATGACAATGTTATGCTCTTCACACTGTGTGTCACTGGTCTTGAGTTTAGGGAATTGCAATATATATGTATATACAGTATTTAAATGTTACTCTCTCGTAGAAATGCCATTAATACATATTTAATATTAAACACAGTGAGAAGACAATGAAGAATCTTGACTTACTCCTGTTCCTGACTCTCCGGGTTGTCCTGGGTTTCCAGCTTCACCTTGTTCACCCTGTGGATAAAAAAACAAATGTAATCCACTCAACAATAGTAACTCAAAACGTCTCAGGTTTAGGTCATATCCTAGCTTTATTTAATGGTGTGGTTTTGACGTCCCATTCTGGTCTTAATCATCTGAATATCCCATATTCATCAAGTAGTGTCTAGCCTGACTGTCGCCAGACCCTTGTGGTTCCGCCATGCTCCACCAGAGGCGTTTGGCTGAACACATGGGATTGAGCGCAATGCAAACTCCTTCAGGAGATCAAAAAGGGTTGCCAGGTTTGGTGGTTTCCCGCTTACTTTTGTTACAAGCAAATTGTAGGTAATAAATAGACAGAAATGTATACCGGCATTTGGCAACCCTGCAACGCAGTGAGGAGGTGTGTGCTGAATTGTGTGCTTCAATATGAGTGGTTGAAGGACCACGTCATTTAAGATAACAAGTGGTTTATCCAATCACATACAAGGATTTTTTTTTACAAGGCTTGCCTTTTGAAATTCATCTGCTATGAAGGAGACTTCATGTAAATGGTTGAAATCGCAGATGTAAATATACTGCTGCTAATATTATACTTGCCTCTTATTTTGCCTTTTATACTTCTTATTGTGATTATTATCAAGATAGAGATTTTATACTTGTTATTTGAGATTTTGTTTTATTTTAATTAGTACAGCTATTGTTCACTTATCTTGTGCTGTGTGCTTCTCTTTCCTACTGTTATAACTATAACTTGTGATGCAAAACTGAAATTTCCCCACTGTAAGATAAATAAAGGATCACTGAATGTCTTCCTTGTAGTCCAGAACTTCTGCTGTTTGGTTGATGGTAAGGGAAAGGTGCTGGATTACAGAGAGGGGCAAAAATGGATTTCCCCTGGATGATAGTCTGCAAACATTTTCTTTGTTCAAGCTTTGGATCCTCAATATTAGGGATTGTTGCAAAAAAGGACGTCATGGCTTCACCATTGTTGCCTGGCATCGTAGCTGGAGTGAAATTAAAGATAGGCACTAAGTGGCACCAGTCTGGATATAGCTACTCAGGTTCATTATAGCATCTGCAGTGAAACAATGTATGTCCAGATATCAAATTTAAAGTTGTGAATTCTGAGACTTAATTAGATTTTGGAAAATTAAAGTGAATGGGACTTTTCTTTTCACTATAGTCATGCACTTCTGTGTCATTTTTTTTTGGTAAAACCTTCCAAACCTTCCGTGTATTCTTTGTATCCCTACTGTTTATTAGTGTAAATATAAAAATGAAAAATTATGAAACATTCCACCAACAAGTCCAAACTAGCAGATCACAAAAAGGGGTTAGACATTCTTTACGACTAAATATATTGGTCACACAAAACAAACTGGAGCTCTGGACGTGGCTAGGAGCAGTGAAGCAGAAGTATCCATCATAATGACTTCACACTGGACAACAACAAAGCTGGAGACGCCTTGAGCCGAGTCTTACCTTCTCTCCCACGGATCCCACTGGACCCACGCCGCCGGGAGGGCCTTGCGGACCCTACGGCAAGATACAACAAGAATAGGTCATTATTTGTACACCTTACAAAAGTCAATTTATAGTTCACAGCAAAAGGATACAATAATGTAGGAATACTATACTTCTATTAGCATTAGACTCAGGTCGCCATGCAGTAAATCCTAAACAGTATTAAATGCCGTCTTATTGGAATGTAAATAAAATGAATGAAATTAACTAACAACCAAATCATAATTTCCTTTACGTGTGCTCAATAAAAACAAATTTGATTTGTAGTATAAAAGGATCAAAAGATTAATGGATTCAAAAGCATGATTTGTTGAATAAAGCCCAATTTCTCAGTCAAATTCTGTTCAAATAGCCTTGGTAATTGCTAGCTTAAAATTGTCAAATTTGAGTCATATCACTGATCTATGTTTTGCTGCTAAACTGTGATGAAGACTAATTCTGACAGCAATACATGAAAAGATGAAAAAAAATTCTAAACTGTCTATAGTTTGTCGGAAGTAGTAGATATGGCATGTTGTACTTACATCAGCTCCACTGGGGCCCTGAGGACCTCGGGGACCAGGTGGACCAGGAGGACCCTACACAAAGGAACAGAGTTACTAAATAAATGCATTTCAAAATCTTGATTATGACCAAACACTTCTCCTACCATTGGACCGACGTCACCGTTCTCTCCCTTCTCACCAGGGGGTCCAGGAAGACCCTGAAAACACAAATAACAAGATTTACATAATGAATCTGCTGTGACCTGTCCTGCTCCACCACCGCCTGTTCCACCTCTGCTGCTGTGACCTAAAACCTATTTATTTATTACCTCTTATTGCTATTGTTAGTCATCTTAACCTAATATCAGATTTCATTTGTAACTTATTGTGGAAATGTAGTGACGTATCAAACAAACATGAGGGCGAAATAAATAAATCATCATCTAACTTAACGTTTTGAATGTTCCCTGCCCTAATTATCTGATTGCTGAATACATTTTCATTATCCAGAAGCGAGGTTGTGAATGCATGATGTCATTGATGCTAAAAATTGGATGAACTGTAGTCACACTGTATGGAAAACAATGGTGCGCCTTTGCAAATGAAGATGATGTTTTGTCTTTTTACTAGAATCTGAGCAAGATACAACATTATGATACTTTCATGCCTATGACTGGAAAAAAATTTAGATATTACGAAGCACATGTTGTGCTCTCGTCGAGGAAAATGGACTTCATCTTAAACCATGTTGTTTCCCCTTTTCCGTTTCCGTATTTCAGTCACTTTGGTGCTTTTCTCCGATCAGAACGAAAGTTCTCTCAACTATTAGTTCAACCTCCTCAACATTGAGTCATTTGTACCCATCATCATAACAGTTTCTCATTCCTTTGAACACACGTCAAATGCTTTTGGACTTGTATCAGTTACTTTCATACAATTCTTTGCTGTTTTATAACATAATCATTTGTAATGACACATAATGACATGAAATACATATGTGTCTTGTACACGGTTACTTCACAAAATACAGTAATGTGTAACTTTTTACTGTAGTTTTTAAATTGCTGTACATGTAATGCATAGTGCTGTCTTGAGCGTTGCCATAGTGTCACCAAGGTCTGACATTTTTTCTTTGGAAAACACAGAGAGAGTTAACTGTCACAATGAAAACATGACAATTCCATTTGACGCCTGTTCCTTAAAAATGGTGTAAGGACTGTTTTGATGACACAGAAAGTTTCATTGACATGAAGACTTGCTTTTGAGGAATCAACTATTCATTTCGAGCAAGTGACGCACTTTTGCAGGTTATCCACTATGTTTGTACTAATTTTTCTGAGAAATGCAATAAAAGTTGTGCAAGTGTTAATAGTGATGTGAGAAGTCACCATCTATCCAATTATTCAATCCCATCCACTTCTGGTCCGATCACTACTGTCCCTTTTACCTTCCAGGCCCTCTCCAGCTAAAACGGTAGCTGTGAAGCAGTTGTTTTGTGTTTTATTATTTTTGTTTTTCTTGCTTTTTTCTACCTGAAATGTTGATGCATTGTGTTCAAGGTTTTACACTGGTCCAGACTGGAGCGGAAAGAATTCATGGTCCGAAACAAGCGAATCAGGCGAAAATCCACTGGAGAAAGGGAAACGTTTTGAAAAATGCTAACAAGCATTTAGCCCAGGTGTCTCCAACCTGTAGCTCGGGAGCCACCAGTAGCTCACCCCCCCTTCAGATTGTAATGTTCATTATCCATCCATCGATCCATTCTCTACCCTTCAATTCATTTCTGGGTCAGGGGGGTGGCAATCAGAGATGCCACCCAAGTCTCATAGCACCAGCCCCTCACTGACCCTCTGCAGGTGGTGAGTCCACAGGAGGACGGCTGCTCTCTGAGTGTGAGCATAGCCTTGATCTTTCAGTGGGGGCTTTGGGCAAAGTGGGGTTAAGTGTCTTGCCCAAGGACACAACGACAGCAGTCATCAGTGGGAGTCGGTGGAGAAGGTGCAGAGGAATTGAACCCATGACCTTCTGGCCTTAAGGCCAATGCTCTACCAACTGAGCTAATGTTCATTATATTATTGCAAATGCCCTGACTTATTAACACATATGTCATTACAAAGAATGAACCCAATATCAGACTTGTTCACACCATTATATAACTGCTTAAAGGAGTAGCTCCCTGCCTTTATCTTCTTGGCAAAGTAGCTCTCTGGGTGAAAAAGGTTGGCGACACCTGTTTTAGCCTTTTACTTTTGACCAAAGCAGCGAAAATGGTCCGAACCAAGCGGCTCCACCTCGGCCCTACCAGGCCCTTTCCAGCTCTTCTCTGAGCCCTTGGTATTTCTCAAGCTTTTCGTGCTATTTTTTTCCTGATTTTATCACATTGCTTGGAAGGGCCACGTCCACCACTACAGCTTTCCTCCGCTCTTTGTCTTCCACCATGATGTCAAGTTGGTTCCCCATTACCATTCGGTTGGTCTGTATCATGTCATGGCTATAGATCCTGGTGGCATAGATCACGGAGTCTACGTCTTGTTCTCTCTTGATCTTGACTATATCTATATATATATATATATATATATATAGATATAGTCTATATCTATATATATATAAAAATAAAAAATACATTCTCACCGCGGGCAGTTATCCCTCTCTAAGCTCGGGTCCGCTACCAGAGCTTGAGGGTTCTGCGCTGTATCTTTGCTGTTCCTAGCACTGCACATTTCTGGACCGAGATGTCCGAGGTATATATATATATATATATATATATATATATATATATATATATATATATATATATATATATATATAGATGACCAATTGATTACTAGTTAGTGATCATTTTAAAACAATATTTGCAATTTATTGATTTAGCTCTAACAAGTTTGCATTTCTTAGTAACAAGATAAATATGAATTGATGACTTGCACGGACACAGGATACTGTTGTGCTCTTAATGGATATAGTAATAAAGTACTGTCCAGCCCTGGTGCTTATTACACTGTTTTTTGTCTGCATTTTCAAACTGGCTTCATGACTCGCTTCCTTGCTGTGAATTCTCATCTGAATAAAGGTCTAGTCCAGTCTACGATCGTTAGCGCTGCAGATAATTATGCTCCGTGGTGAATGTGCTCAGTGACGAACTGACTATCAACACAGGTCGGTCCACACAATAAATGGAATCGCAATGGGAAGTGAATTACACTCAATTAAAAACCCATCGAACACTATCCTCAGGTGATGGGACAGCCCCTTTGGGATGAGGAGTGGCAGTGTATGTGCTTTCATCAAGACAATGGCCCTCCCAAAGCTGATCACTAATAAAACACATCATTACTGACAAATGGGCCACGCAGCGGAGAAACGGCTCTGCTTATTACCGAATTAGAAGGCAACCCCATTAAGTCTGGTTAAAATAGTAGCGGTGTTTTTTATGTACCTGATAGTTTTGAACCCTTCCTCAGAATGGTGTCACATGCTGTTCCTGTGTCGTGTTTTGTCAGCTGTTTTACAGACTACAAACAGGACTGAAACCGGGACGAGGGGGCTTCTTTACTCTCAAACTTCTGGGATTCTATTCCTGAAGAAGTGGGACTGAAGATGGCGCTCTCGTCCCACCTCTAGTGGTAGGAAAACAGCTGATAAGACACAACACAGGAACATTTGTGACCACTATGAGGAAGTATCAGCTGTAAAACCTATCAGGTACAACAACAAAAAACAAGCAGGTTTTAAAAAGGAATAAACTATCAAATCTTGGTTGATTCTTTTATTTCATATTATACAGCTCGGCATCAGGCCTGGTTAACATCAGGAATGAAAAGAGGTCAAGTCGAGCGAGATGTTGTCAATGTTGATTTGGTTTCAGTGAAATTGGATTTTTCTCATGTTAATAATGTTCATGGAGTAAATCAAATATACCACCATCAACACAATATTGTATCTATGCATTATTCAGGTTCACTGAAGCAAAATTGGTTATTTTTGAATATGGCAGAAATGCAGTGTTATTGAACAAGTATCGAATATGCTTTGGAGAAACATTGTCAAATATTGTCAATAATATGATAAGGTAACAGATATACAGTAGTAAATCAGTACATCCTGCATGCATCAATCACTGAGTTACTTGTTCTTGCCTAAAATTGCTTGTAAAGCCCTAGGTTTGTCTGTGTCTGAAAACTGTATCTGATTTGAAATCCACAGGAAAAAGAATAACACTGTAAAATGAAAACCTCTGAGAACGTTACAGGGGAAACTTTATCACAACAGTATATGAGAAACCTTTGTTGTGAACTGTTTATACAGAAATACAGAATACATTCTATTATCGTCAAAACGACTTCCTAAAATAGAACATTTAAAAAAACATCTGACATAAGTGATTATTTATATGATTACTGAACACAAGAATACATGACATTGTAAACATTTGTTCATACTTTAATCTGTTACAATTGTAATATTACAATCTGAGTCAAATCATCAATATGAATCAATTCATATTTTATCCAAAATATTCTATCTCAGGGCTATTTTTTATTTACAAGACAGTGGCATGATTAAAGGCAAATGTCAAACATTAGCTTATGCATTTTCTCGAACAAAAGAATTATTCAGTATCAATATTAATATCCCCCTAAGAAGTCAATCATCCTTAATGACGAGTCTACTAACTGGACACTAAAAATGATAATTAGTTGCAGCCAGATACAAGAAGAAATGGAGACTGACCTGCAGGCCGATGGGACCAGGGGGACCGGGAAACCCTCGTGAACCTTCATCTCCCTTCTGTCCAAACATTCCCTGCTGACCTCTGGGACCAGGCTCTCCATCTGCGCCCTTAGAACAGAGAAAATGTCAGCTTTTTACCACAACAAAATATACCAAATATTAAAAACAATAAAGCTCTCAATTGACCGTGTTTTTCTTTGGTCTATGCTTTCTAATTCAATACTGCCCTGACGAAGACTCCGGTCAAAACGCGTCGGCCATTAAAAAGAACACAGTTTTCAGAGTGCCTCCTTCTCCATTTTTTCTTTTGCATACCAGTCTCCAACCCTTGAGTCGGATGAGCACCTGTTAGTGTTTTTACTTTTGTTTGATCCAGTGCAGCACTCCTGCAACCCCTTCACTCAACCACATGATACTGCTGTTGGGTTTTTTAAATCAATAAAACACTTTTTAAAACCAATTGCCCACGTTCTGCAGACGTTGCAAGACCCTGGTCCTCATTCTGAAACTTAGGTTCTGGATCTTTTTGAGTTTTTCCTTGCCGAGGCAGGAGGGTCTGTTGGACAGTTAGTGTCTAACAAAAAGGACTGTGGTGATGATCCAGGACACTTAAACATTCTACAACATGTATAGCCGTACCACACGTATCGTACCACACCATAGTACAAATTAAATTTCGTACTAAGGTCTGGAGGTGCTCCATTGAGCTCTGTTTACAGGTGGGAGGGGTTAACTCCTTTTGCAGATTGAAACGATTGGATCTGAGTTTACCATGACGTATGTAGTGTGCCCAAGTCTGTCGTTAGCATTTAGCCTAGCCATCTCCTTTGCCGCTAACGGAGCCCGTGGGGAGTAGCGCCACAATTTTTCCAGCGATTACATTTGCTAAACATTCCTCTTGCTCCGGTTCCAATTTCTTGATAGAACCAGATCGGATTACGCATTTTTCGCCATTGCCAAACCACAACCTTCCTGTTCGACGCTAACTCTTGACGTCACCAACAACTAACTACAACACCTGCCTTACGCGCTCTCTGAATGGTCGGTCGAAATTCAAGCGATTGTAATCGCTAACATGGGGACCAGACCCAGACGTTACATGCAGTGAAATGATGATTGAACAGAGTGTACGGATGGCTAAGGCCAGGCTACAACATGTATGGACATTTATCAACATTCATGGATATTCGTCTCCCAATGGATCAATACAAATGTGTATTTTCTGTGTCTTAACTGTTGATTTTCTGATCTGTGATTTCAATGGTTTTTTTAAGTCCTCTGAGATGACTGCTGCTGTGATTAGGGCTATACAAGAATACATTGTAATGTAAATTGTATAGTATTGTACACAGCATGTTTGAAATCTTTAGAATTTTGTTTCAGACAACACTGGATTGTCACAGTGTGTGCTCTAGTTATTTGTTCTAGCTCTATGATCAATTGACACAGTCCAGTAAAGTTTTATTGATGTGGGAAACAAGATACACTTACTGCAGGACCTGGGGCACCAATGGGACCTTGGAGACCGGGTGGACCGGGAGGACCCTAAACGACAAAAGAAACAACTCAAAAGAAAGGATCATAAAATAATCACATCATTGTTTTGTGTGGCACTCACCTGCTCTCCTTTGTCGGCTTTGCTTCCCTTCTGTCCTGGCTCTCCCACCTCTCCCTGAAAAGAGAAACATTAAGACGTCAGTTTAAGTCATTGTCAACACCACAGAGCCGCTGAATGTGTGTCAATGGCAAATTAGCAATGAAAAAGAAAAAAATCCCCCTCCTACAGTTAACCTATAAACTCAATAAATACTCACATACAATAACACAAACCAAAGTGTATAGGACATCCCCATGTACCCATAACACTGAGCTAGCTATTTATTAGAATGAATGTATTCAGTAATGTACCTTGTCACCATCCTCTCCTGGTTGACCTTGGGGTCCCGCTGGTCCGGGCAGACCAACTGGACCCTGGACTCCGTCGCGACCGGCTGGACCCTGAGGTCCTTTTTCTCCCTGAAAAACACAAGCATTTATTCCTCTACTGTTTAAAATAGAAACATTAGATCAAGAGCAGAGATGATTAAGTTTGGATTCTGCTGACAAACTACTCACAGGTGCACCCTTCTCTCCAGCGGGACCTGGGGGACCTTGAGGCCCAGGTCGACCGGACAATCCAATAGGACCAGCCTGACCAGCACTTCCTCTCTCACCAGGTGAGCCCTAAACACGCAAGAAACAGGACAATACATTATGGTATTAAATACAAGAACTGCAAAAAAGAGCTCCTGGTGTGGATTCTTAACAACAGACATAAAGATTGGAGCAGGGCCACTAATGGATCCGTACAGCTCTGTCTGAGAAAAGCAGCGAGACACTGCTCTTAGATCCTGTATCACAGCACTGCATCAGTGCTATATCTGCAAGACTCAAAAACTCAATTCAAATAAATCTCTCACTCATAATAACAAGCTAAAACTAAACAAATCCTTAGAGTTTGGTGGAAGATCCTGACGGTATGAGAGCATATATTGGATATTTCATATGTGCTGTGTGGATTGATAATCCCCGTCTGTTTATACGGTGGAGCAGTGACACAGACCCCTATGATTGAAGCGACTGCAGCACTTGAATGCTATAGTGAAAAATGTCTGCTGATCCCATCAAACACACACCAGCAATAATGATGTAATGCCAATGCTCTCATTACAGATTACACAACATGAGAAATGACTTCTTTTCCTAAAGCTTTCTTTGAAACGAATATATTCAACACTTTTTACTTCGCAACAACTAAACACCCTCAAAATATTACCCTTCAAAACCAATTCTTGCTTATTTGGTTGGGATTTGGTCAAGGCCTTATTCATCAGAAAAATAAACAACTGAAATATACTATAGGTTACATATTACAATACTCTATGGACCTTTTAATAACGAAATAACAAATAACTTATTGAAATATGTTGGTTTTATCCTGAAATACGAACTACTAAAAGAGTTTCATAAAATCTACTTTTATCTTTTTTATTCTCTACTTACATGGTTACAACTACGTTTCAGAACTGTATTGTTATTATCGACTGCTCCTTGTATTCCCACTGTGCAGTAATTTGCAGTGACATTGAGATTGCTCCACTGTGGGATGAATTAAGGTTGTTTTATTGGGTGATACATTACATTACCCTCTCTGTGACTAAACAGGCTGAAACAAACCTCAAAAAATGGGTTCTATTCCATAATTCATATTTGTAATGTGCTACCCATGATAACAGCAATTCTTGATCAATTACCAGCAAATCTAAACTTACCACAGGGCCAGACGGACCTTGGGGACCTTCACCTCCTTTTAGACCAGCTGGACCCTAACAATAAAAAAACATGGTTAAAGGTTTTATACTTTGTATTGTCATATTTATGTTGACGTTTAGAGTAAAACCGAAACAGAAATGTAAGTTTTCCTTGATAATGTCTCTCACTTCTTTTCTGTAAGTTGTGGCTAAAAAATGGAAGTTAGACATCTCACAGTTTCTCACAATGTGGTGAGGTCTTTTCCGGGGAGCTGCTTCCTAAAGCTGTCTAAAAGAAAGCATTTCAGTTTGGGTAATGAGTCTTATTGTTGGCCGGAGCTACACTGAGTAAATCACAATGGCAGAAAACAATCAGGTATGCCACAGCTGGGAAAGTCAGACTGACCTTGAAAGTGCTATTTTCACACTTTGCCACAATCTTACATTAATGATTTATGTCAGTAAATCTCGTCCCATTCAAGAAATTAAGTGAATGTAAAACTATACAAATATACAGCGTCTTTTTCACTTTCTCCAAAACAATTAATGTTAACCAAGTATGTTGTTCTTTTCAATGAAACAAGATTTTATAATAATTTCTCTTTGGCATGTTTCAAAATGTGAAATTATACAAAAGTGTCTATAGCGAATATCTTGCAGTAGCCTCTAGGTCGCCTCTTGGTTGCAGCCCACACATTTGAAAACATTTTACTCCAGATTCCCGTTCAAAAAGTCTGTTTGGTTAGCTCTTATCGGCTTCTTCCTCAATAAGACCAATACTATGGATGACTCCTTCCACTCCATGGTTTGAAATAGCAAATTTTCTTTGATTCACACTTTTAAACTCCACAGAGTGACTTGCCAGTAACCCTCTTCTTTAATATCAAGACCATGCGGCATTGTGGTCATTAAAACAGAAGTGTCACTGCCAGCGAAGCGTCGCACGAGCACGCCTGTTCATTTGGGAGACGCCGTGCTGGATTTCCTTTGCCGCAGATTGATTGCAGAGAGAGAATTCTGGCCTGTTGCCTCTAATGAAGTGACTGGCTTCAGATCTGTGTGTGCATTTGTTATGTGCTATTGTTCTGTCACTTTGCACTAACAACCACATGCAAAGAAGCCCAGTGATGGATAGGAGCAGGCGGGCTGTTGTAGTGCATACCGGAGCGCCTGGTAGACCTCTCTCTCCAGGGAATCCTCTGAGACCAGGTGGACCATCTTTACCTGAGGATCCTTGAGGGCCTGGGTCTCCCTGTGCAAAAGAAGATGCAGTAGTTATTGCTATAGTAGGTACAGGACACAACAGGAAAAAACATATTCTTGACAAAAAAAGTCCTCAATCAGTGAATCAATTTATCGTATAAATTTTTGAATTGTTGAATTGTGGGCTTGAGCATTACAAAACTGAACGCTCTTCACCCCTAAGTTTGAGTTTAAAGCTTGCATATCTGACTTTCCGATCATAAAACATAAATCATTTTTCAAATTTTTTCATACAGGCAAAGGAAAAAGAGGACCACCATCCCTCAGCCAAGCAGCCAAGAGTAAGTAAAAGATGCAATAACATGTTTTAGTTTTATTCTAACAGATAGAGAATTAGAATTTTGAAATTATATTTTTAATACAGAAAAAAAGTTGTAGCATGAGTTTTTTCAGTATTTACATATTGATTCTTTTCAGCATGTAAATATAATGGCATAAGACTAATTAACAAACATACCATGTGGTCGCTTAAAATGATACAGTTGCTGCTGTGACATTATACTGTTTTTCATACTGATGACCCTAGTGACCATATGCAAATGAGATAAAATAATTTAGCTGTGGGCTTTTAAAGGAAGGGCATCGGGACAAGCTGATGACACGATGAATGTGCGCAAAGCTATCTATAAACATGACTACTTTATTGTGGAAATCCTAACTTTTGCTAATGTTCCTATAGCTACATCTAATCTGCAAATCAACAGTGCTTTAAGGAGGTTCAAGTTTCGTAATTCAGTTGATTAAAGCTGGGGTACCAAGTTTTTTTCTCTCCTAAATAACACTATTGTTCAACAGAAAGATCGTATAATTAGAATGTGAACAAATCAGATCACCCTGGGAGTCATTATTTGACGCTTTGGGCAGATAGTTGATTGGCAGAGTGAGAGTGGTCTTCTCTTTTCACTTTTCCATCTGATAGAACTGTTTTGAGAAACTATAGTTACATGTAATAGAGTAGTAGTACCAATGAAAGAAAGGTACCCCAGTTTTTATGTTTGCCTTAAAGCTGTGCTTTGAGACAGTCCACTATTGACTTCCCCTTCAACCTTATCTGGAAACTAAACTTTCAAACAGAGCAATAAAGCCAAGAGTTGCAGGCATTTGATTTATTTGTGAAAGCCAATTTATAAACAAGGACATTTTACTGAAGAAAAAGTTATTAGTGTCTGTTTTCTCCACTGTTATTGACAGACTTTATCTGCAAACAGATAGTAGAGAAGAGTGTAGGAGGATTTGGTCTCTCACAAAGTGTTGCTGGCATACTGATGTGTACATGGGAGGACGAGGTCTGGAGGTAGTTTGTGGCGAGCTGACGCTCCTGATTAAACTGTCTGCTCGGAGACGACGGGAGAAAAGGAAAGCATTGGGGGGTTTGAGAGCGGAGGAGGCCGGTGTGGAGCGGCCATACTTCTGCAAAATGACTGCTGTCGCTTCCTAATGGCCACTCAAATGGCGACCGGAGAGGACTGTGGGGAGGAAATGTAGCTGGACACAGCTCAAATCCCAGATACTGTATCTTCTGTGCTGCAGTGGAAATCAAGCAAAGTAAAAATAGCTTGAACCTGATTTAGAAGGAAATGCTATTAAAGGAATGGGCCACATCCATGCAACAAAAGATAAACATAGCAGGAGAAGGAGAATACCATCAATATTTGGAATCTTCAGCTTTAGATTTTTTTTCAGGCTATTTGTCATCATGGACCTGTGTCTACACCAGTGTTCCCCTGCATGTGCTCAATCACGCAATGCTTTTGGGGTCCCAGCCTGGTCCCAGCCTGGTCCCAGCCTGGTCCCAGCGCACAGAAAACTCTGTCCTGCCCACAAAAAAAAAATCCAGTGTCCTGTGCCACCAGCACAAACAATGCGGCCACGTATTTCTACAGTGTAAGGACCGCAGACGTCTTGCACTACATCAGCTGCTGCGGTGTGTGCATGGAGCTACACACACAAGCTACACACACGTGAAGCTACATACACAACTAACGCGCAAACACACATGCACAGACACACACACACACACACACCCACACACACACACACACACACACACACACATCAGAATCAGAATCAGAATCAGAATCAGAATCATTTTTATTGCCAACGTAAGTAACGGGAGGTCACAGACTTGGAAATTGCTTTGGCTCAGTGCAACAGTCAAAAAGAGATAATAAAAATAAGAATAAAAAACACTTCTAAAGAATAAATTTAAATTTAAAATAGAGTTACAGTTACTATTTACAATATACAAGTGCACATGGTGCACACAATGTAAGGTGACAGCAGTACAGTGAAGTAAAGTGACGTATGATGGGCAGTAAAGTGACTTTATAAAGGGCGGGGGGACAGGTTAAGAAGTGTTCAAGAGTCCAACAGCAGAGGGGAAGAAACTGTTCTTGTGGCGGGAGGTTCTAGTCCTGATGGACCGCAGCCTCCTGCCTGAGGGGAGTGGTTGGAATAGTCCATGTGCAGGGTGAGAGGGGTCGGCTGTGATACGACCAGCCCGGCCTCGAGCTCGGGCGACGTACAGGTCCTGCAGCGATGGAAGGCTGCGGCCGATCACTTCCTCTGCAGAGCGCACAATGCGCTGTAGTCTCTGTTTGTCCCTGACTGTGGCTCCAGCGAACCACACGGTGATGGAGGAGGTGAGGATGGACTCGATGATGGCCGTGTAGAACTGCACCAACATCTGTGCAGGCAGCTTGGCTTTCCTGAGCTGCCGCAGGAAGTACATCCTCTGCTGGGCCTTCTTGATGAGGGAGCTGATGGTCGGCTCCCACTTGAGGTCCTGGGTGATGGTGGTGCCCAGGAAACGGAAGGACTCCACAGAGGTGATGGGGGAGTCCATCACGGAGGGTGGGGGCGGGGGGACAGTGCTCTTCCTGAAGTCCACAATCATCTCCACTGTCTTCTGGGCGTTCAGCTCCAGGTTGTTACCACTGCACCAGGACACCAGCCGGTCCACCTCCCTCCTGTAGGCGGACTCATCGTTGTTGGAGATGAGTCCAATGAGGGTGGTGTCGTCCGCGAACTTGATCAGCTTCACGGAGTCGTGGCTGGAGGTGCAGTGGTTGGTGTACAGGGAGAAGAGCAGGGGAGAAAGAACACAGCCCTGTGGGGCTCCTGTATTTATAATCCGAGAGTCCGAGACATTCTTCCCCAGACGCACTCGCTGCTTCCTGTCCGTCAGGAAGTCAGTGATCCACCTGCAGGTGGAATCGGGCACGTTGAGCTGGGAGAGCTTGTCCTGGAGCAGGGATGGCAGGATTGTGTTGAAGGCAGAGCTGAAGTCCACGAACAGGACCCTGGCGTAGGTCCCCGGGGAGTCCAGGTGCTGTAGGATGTGGTGGAGGGCCAGGTTAATGGCGTCGTCTACAGATCTGTTGGCTCTGTAGGCGAACTGCAGGGGGTCCAGGAGGGGGGAGGTGAGGGACTTGAGATGGGAGAGAACCAGGCGTTCAAATGACTTCATGACGACAGACGTAAGTGCTACAGGTCTGTAGTCATTGAGTCCTGTGATCCTGGGCTTCTTCGGGACGGGGACAATGATGGAGGATTTGAAGCAGGCCGGGACATGGCAGGACTGCAGAGAGGAGTTGAAAATGTCCGTGAACACAGGAGTAAGCTCACTGGCGCAGTGTCTCAGAGTGGCCGGAGACACGTGGTCCGGGCCAGGAGCTTTGCGGGGGTGCAGCCTCAGGAAGAGTTGTTTAATCTCTTTAGCGGCTATTGTTAGGCTGGGGCAGGGCTGATGGGTGGGTCGTTAGAGTAGTGGGGGGTGGGGGAGGGAGAGGTGTCAGGGGCAGCATCAAAGCGACTGAAAAATAAGTTCAGATCGTCAGCTAGCTTGTGGTCATCAGCACAGGGGGGGGCTTTGGGTTTGTAGTTGGTGATCTCCCGTAGGCCCCTCCAGACAGAAGCAGTATCGTTGTTACCAAACTGCTCCTGTAGTCGTTCTCTGTGCCGGGACTTGGCTGCTTTCAGTTCTTTCCTGAACTGATATTTAGCTGCTTTGTAGCCGCTGCGGTCCCCCTCCCTGAAAGCAGACTCCTTTGCTTTCCTGAGCTGCCGGAGTTTAGCAGTGAACCAGGGTTTGTCGTTGTTATAGATGACCCTGGTCCTTGTTGGAATGATGCTATCCTCACAGAAGTGGATGTATGACGTCACAGTGTCCGTGCAGGAAATTAAATCACATTGAAAAGGCCATTTAAGTATATTAAACATCGTATTCATCGTTCCCTCATGCAAAACAGACCTGGAGTTGTTTTTGGCCACAATATCACCAGGAACTTACTGTATGTCATAAATACGCCACTTCTGTCTAAAGTCCTCCTGTGTCAAACCTGTTATGATGAATCATCCAAATGTTACATAAAAGACAAAGCTATTGTCAATATACTGTTTTACTTCAAGTATTGTTTTTAATGCTGAAATTACATTCTTTATGAAAGAGGTGCTCAAAGGGGACAGCGCTGCTCAAGAGGGGGCAGGGGTGCTCAGGGGAGGGACAGTGGTGTTCAAGGGGGGACAGGGCTGCTCAGGGGGGGACAGGGGTGCTCAAGGGGGGACAGAAGTGCTCTGGGGGGGACAGGGGTGCTCAAGGGGGGGACAGACGTGTTCAGGGGGGGACAGGGGTGCTCAAGCGGAGACAGAAGCGCTCAGGGGGTGGGAGGGATGCTCAAGGGGGAAGAGGGGTGCGTCGATCAGCTGGGCAAAGTTCAGAGTTCACATGTGACACGTCAGAGTTCACACTGTGAATTCTACACAGCAAGGTCATTACCTGATTATGAATCACATATACAGCATGAATCAAACCAGTATAATATTCTGAATCTTAACACCATAACACCATTCACATACATCTGCAGTAGATCACGGACAGGAGACTTTTGAATGTTGTACAATATTAAAACTGTGTTTGGAAGAAAACAATTACAACTATGTGAAAGTTTCTGTGCGGAAAAAAGGAAAAGAGATGGCGTTGTTGAGATAATGTTAATTAAAACAAATATTTTTTTTCTTCAAACATGATGAAAGGCAAAGAGGCGCACTCCGATTGGCCGAGTGCATCCCCTGTTGTAATGTAACACTGCCAGGTGGCAAATAGAGTAAAACAAAGTCAATAGACAACTTTTGACTTGTGATGGACAACGCTTGGTAAACAAAACTATAAAATCTGATTCACATTCACTCACATTAGCATGCATGCTTACCTCCTATATAGCTAGTCTCCATGACTCAATTTACCGTAAACTCATAAACTGACAACAGCCTAATGCTACCACAATAAAAATACATACATCGGCCACATCGCTATAAGCCACAGGGTTATGTTGTCCATTTTTCTTGTAATTAGCATTTCATTTGGATGCACTCTCTGTGTCAATGACAGTGGAGGTGGCTACTCCAGCCATTTTCACAAAGTCCATGTTGATCACATAGAAATGTTAACAAAGGAAAAAGGCATCACTACATTTTTTATTTTTAACTATGTTCAATAGATGTCTCACTTTGATCTCTTTTTTTGACTTCCTCAGCTTTAATGCACTGCTTTTAAACTGATATATCCCGGCTGAATGCATCGCCCTCAGATCTCACGTTGACGCTAACAGCTCTACTAACGGGAGGAGGAGGACACACTTTTTCACCAAATTGTTTTAAAATGGCTCCACTCCCTTGGTCTCAAAGTTGCACCGATGTATATGTTCAGTAACCCTGGGGGGCTGGTCTGCCAATTTATTGGACAGGTAAAAAATAAGTAAAAATTGAACCAATCTAGATGTGAACAACTGCTTTTAGCTCTGATACCTTTGTTACTTAGTATGCAACGCAGCCCCCTGGGTTGACGAGCCCCTGAGGACAATAAATTCTACTAAAAGCTTGACAGATCATCGCCCGTATCATTAAGCCTTCCCTCTCACACGGCATCTTTCCCATAGATAACGCAGCACACATGAGCGCCTCCTGCTATTCCCGCTGCAACCATACAGTCTCTTCATTTGAATGTTTTTCTGCAGATTTATGAGCAGCACGCCCCGGTATCCGATACGAGAATTGATCAGAGCAATAAACGCGCTCATGGGCAAGTACAGGCGCAGACAGTGCATTTGAGGAAGTAGGAATACAGATTTGACTTGGTCTGAGTGCATGTTTTAACTGCACAGCCCCAAGGCTTAAACTGAATTTTACAGTTAATGTAAAGTAAAGTAAAATGAGAAGTTTAATAAGTGCAGAATATATGCTACATCTATACTAACGAGGCAGTGTTTCTACCTCATTCTGCTTTTGAAAGTGAAATATAGATTTCTATGATGCATACCATTAGAAGGGACATGCAAAATACACTTTTCAAATGTATTATATATTGTTGAATGTAATTTAGATTCTGTCGAGACAAGCTTTTAGTTTAGTTTAGTTTATTCGGTCAGGCATCGAAAACAAAGTTGTACAAGGATAGTTTCCACAGGAACACAAAATATTCCAAAAAAAAAAGCTCACATGTTTTAACTTTGTTTACAGATTTTCTTTCCTGAATCTGGGATATGTTCTATTGATCCTATAGCGTCCTTGAGACCACTCTGATAGAAAGTAAAGGCACCATGCTGACCTCTCTGACTTCTATCATTTTTTAAATAATGAAATTAAATCCAGAAATTGTTTTGCAGAAATAGTTCTGCCTGTTGCCAATACTGCTCACTAAATGATTTAGCAATTAGATACAAATGGTATTTCAGAGTTGTTTAAATGATATAATTCAGGGTGTAAAAAAGTTAAAAGATCAGATGGTGTCAGTAGCAGCAAAAATAAAGATTAAAATGGATTGATTATAAAAAGCTAACAATAGTAATAATCAGCAACAGTCCTTCAGGTCACAGCAGCAGAGGTGGAGTAACCGCTGGGTGGAGCAGGGCAGGTCACAAGGTGGAGTTGCCGCTCGGTTCTGACCATTTTCTCTGCTCTTGTCCAAAGTAAAATGCTGAATGCTTCTTTAGCATTTTTCAAAAAGTTAGCATTCCTCCAGTGGATTTTTTCCTGATCCGCTTGGTTCGGACCATGAATCCTCTCTGCTCCGGTCTGGACCAGTGCAAAACCATGAAAACTGGACTGCTACTTAATACTTTCTGCCATTTTCAGTTCAAAAGATTACTTGATTAATCAAAGGCCATATCAATACAATACTCATTTACTAAAACAATTGATAACTGCAGCACTGCAGCACATTGCAACTCTTTTATAAAAAAAAAAAAAAAACAATGTCTTAGCCTACTTTCACTGTCTAACAAATATAGATACAAAACAAGTAGAAAGTCTGCATGTTACACCTTGGAAACTTCAACACAGCTCGACTTGATTTCACACACTTAGAGTAAATAATTAAATCATATTCTCTATCCATTTTTAATATATATCTAAAAATCTCAAGTAGCTTTCCTGGGCTGAACTTTCGCACAACATCACTAAGGTGTTGTGCTCAAAGGATTGTTCTTCTCCGTTCTCAGTTTGAGTGTCTCTGTTTGAGGATCATATCTTTTCTGCTCGGTCATTTCCTCAGGGTTTTCCACCTGAGAAGGTGAACTCTGCAAACAGGTTCAATGGAATTACAACCGCTGAAACTCAACTTTTTGTTCTTTTGAGGAGGATGTGTTGAATAATGTCACTGTTGTATTCTGTAATCTTCTTTCAGGGATTCCAAGGAAAGACTGGCCCACCTGGTCCTGGAGGTGTAGTGGGACCGCAAGTAAGAACCTTTATGAATATGAAAAGAACTGTTAAGTTGTGTTAACGGATTTCACTGTAAAAAAATCAATACAACAAAATGTCTTATATAGTGAGTAAACCTACCAAACATTATATATGTTTTAACAATTTACAGAAACGTGCGCCAGATTGTTTTGTGCGTTCTTTGCCCACGTTTATTAAAGCTGGGGTTCCAAACCACAGCACATATATTATTAGAAAACATGTTATATTATGCCTAACTTTGGGTTGGGAGATGATTGGCTGAGTGAAGGTAGTCCTCCCTTTTTTACTTGTACATCTGAAAAAGCTGTTCTTAGCATGTGACAGAAATATATAAATACAAAATTGTATTTAGAGCAAAGCAACTAGTTTTCCTACATAGTCAAAATTCTTGTGATTTGAAAGCTACGTACCCCAGCTTTAATATATTGTTGCACCTTTCAGAACTCAGGGCTCAGTTTCTTTTGTTGTTAGAAGCTGTTTTTACAACATACTGCACATCTGTCGGGCCTCTATGACGTACTTTGGTGTTTTAGGGACCCACTGGAGAGACTGGTCCTGTCGGTGAAAGAGGCCACCCTGGACCTCCTGGACCACCCGGAGAACAAGGTCTACCAGGGGCTGGAGGCAAAGAAGGAGCAAAGGTAAAAAACATTTAGAAATGACATCTAAGATTCTGAGAGCTGGATGTCACAATCCCTGTTGTTACCCAAATGTAATTTCCACCACATCGATTGCTCAGGGCAACTCTCGGTTCAAAACAGATTTAGAAGGTAATTTGTTTAAAGATTGAGCTGTGAGTCAGTCCGAGTGCAATTTAAATGCTGGAAATAGATATTATCGAAGTGGACTACAAATTAGATTTATGCAGCGCCAATTATTGTCCATGCTTTAATATCAGCAATTGAGGTGACGCATCAACCAAATGTCATGTTTCTGGAGGGAACACTTGCATAGAATTCCTCAAATATAGAAATCATGTCAGTGCATGAAGTAAAAGTGTTGTACATGTACAACAATTGATGCATCATTTGAAAATCAAGTATGTTTTTTATAATTATTATTTTCTTTATATTGTAAGATAATATTTACTCTATGATAGAATTTAGGTCAATTTTTCATAAATAATACATTGTCTGTCCTGATAGAAAGAGTCTCATAAAAGCAAACAAACCAACATATCCGACCACAACAAGATTGCTTTATATGATTATAAAATAGTTGACTATCTTGCATACTTAGTCACTGTTTAAAAGGAACAAGGCTGTGAAGACATTTGGACATTTTGGTAACTTTAAATGTATGTTTTCCCTAACAAATAAAAATACACAGACCATGTGCAGACCAGTGTTCCCTCTATTTGGTCATCGTAGTTTTTCATATGGCATTTTAAAAAAAAAACATGTAGATCAATTATCTAAAGATAATAATAGTCATATTGCCACAAAACCAACTTTACTCTGCAATAGATAACTATGCTGAAGTTACTTCTTAACATCAGTGAAAAGTGCTAACAACAACAATTTGGGCAAAGAGGGATGTAGCAGGTCTCTCCTGTTCATCAGACTTACTTCTCCCTGCATGTGGACTCCGAACTCCGGACTCAAGATGGCGCCTCGTACGGTCGACATGGCTCTTTGCTGCTCTCTTTTTCTTTTGTTTTTACTTTTTAACTGTGCATCTGGCTGTTCCTACACCCGTGAGGAACTTATGAACATCCGACCCACCGTTCCCATGGACCTATTGCCTGTTTTCTTGGCATCTGCGGCTGATTTAGTTCATGTTCTAGCCAAAAAAGTGTGGGCCCGTAAAAGGGGAAAGCGAGGAGGCCTGCTCGTGCGTCTTAGGAGGAGAGGAGCGCGCACGGCTCTCCCCGGCATTTTTCTCTCCAACGTACGCTCACTGGGCAATAAGATGGACGAACTCAGCCTGCTCATGAGAAGAAACAAGGACTTCGCCACATCCTGTGTCCTCTGCTTCACTGAGACCTGGCTAAATGAGCGGATCCCGGACTGCGCTCTGGAGCTGCAGGGCTTTGGGCTGTTTCGCGCGGATCGCCATTGTGCGCTCTCAGGGAAGAGCAGAGGCGGAGGGCTCTGTTTCTACGTCAATACAAACTGGTGTAACGATGTGACAGTGATCTCCAAGCACTGCTCTCCTGCTCTGGAATATCTTTTCATTCATTGTAAACCATATTACTCCCCGCGGGAAATTGTTTCATTCATTCTTGCCTCTGTTTACATACCGCCATGCGCGGACGCGCGCGAGGCTCAGCGCGCACTCGCAGAGCAAGTACTGTGTATGGAACGCTTATACCCGGACTCTCTGATTATTATCCTGGGGGATTTTAATAAGGGAAACTTGAGCCAGGAATTACCCAAATACAGACAGTTTATCAAATGCCCGACCAGAGAGGAGAACACTCTGGATCACTGTTACACCACCGTGCGCGGAGCTTTTCGCGCTGTTCCCAAGCCAGCCCTCGGCTTCTCAGATCACTCCATGATACATCTGGTTCCTGCTTACAGACAGAGACTAAAGCTCTCGAAACCTGCAGTGAGGAGCTCCAAAGTGTGGTCTGATGAAGCTGTGGAAGAGCTGCGCGCATGCATGGAATCTACAGACTGGGACCTTTTCAGAGCTGCCACAGACAGCTTGGATGAATATACGGACACTGTGACGTCATACATCCACTTCTGTGAGGATAGCATCATTCCAACAAGGACCAGGGTCATCTATAACAACGACAAACCCTGGTTCACTGCTAAACTCCGGCAGCTCAGGAAAGCAAAGGAGTCTGCTTTCAGGGAGGGGGACCGCAGCGGCTACAAAGCAGCTAAATATCAGTTCAGGAAAGAACTGAAAGCAGCCAAGTCCCGGCACAGAGAACGACTACAGGAGCAGTTTGGTAACAACGATACTGCTTCTGTCTGGAGGGGCCTACGGGAGATCACCAACTACAAACCCAAAGCCCCCCCCTGTGCTGATGACCACAAGCTAGCTGACGATCTGAACTTATTTTTCAGTCGCTTTGATGCTGCCCCTGACACCTCTCCCTCCCCCACCCCCCACTACTCTAACGACCCACCCATCAGCCCTGCCCCCAGCCTAACAATAGCCGCTAAAGAGATTAAACAACTCTTCCTGAGGCTGCACCCCCGCAAAGCTCCTGGCCCGGACCACGTGTCTCCGGCCACTCTGAGACACTGCGCCAGTGAGCTTACTCCTGTGTTCACGGACATTTTCAACTCCTCTCTGCAGTCCTGCCATGTCCCGGCCTGCTTCAAATCCTCCATCATTGTCCCCGTCCCGAAGAAGCCCAGGATCACAGGACTCAATGACTACAGACCTGTAGCACTTACGTCTGTCGTCATGAAGTCATTTGAACGCCTGGTTCTCTCCCATCTCAAGTCCCTCACCTCCCCCCTCCTGGACCCCCTGCAGTTCGCCTACAGAGCCAACAGATCTGTAGACGACGCCATTAACCTGGCCCTCCACCACATCCTACAGCACCTGGACTCCCCGGGGACCTACGCCAGGGTCCTGTTCGTGGACTTCAGCTCTGCCTTCAACACAATCCTGCCATCCCTGCTCCAGGACAAGCTCTCCCAGCTCAACGTGCCCGATTCCACCTGCAGGTGGATCACTGACTTCCTGACGGACAGGAAGCAGCGAGTGCGTCTGGGGAAGAATGTCTCGGACTCTCGGATTATAAATACAGGAGCCCCACAGGGCTGTGTTCTTTCTCCCCTGCTCTTCTCCCTGTACACCAACCACTGCACCTCCAGCCACGACTCCGTGAAGCTGATCAAGTTCGCGGACGACACCACCCTCATTGGACTCATCTCCAACAACGATGAGTCCGCCTACAGGAGGGAGGTGGACCGGCTGGTGTCCTGGTGCAGTGGTAACAACCTGGAGCTGAACGCCCAGAAGACAGTGGAGATGATTGTGGACTTCAGGAAGAGCACTGTCCCCCCGCCCCCACCCTCCGTGATGGACTCCCCCATCACCTCTGTGGAGTCCTTCCGTTTCCTGGGCACCACCATCACCCAGGACCTCAAGTGGGAGCCGACCATCAGCTCCCTCATCAAGAAGGCCCAGCAGAGGATGTACTTCCTGCGGCAGCTCAGGAAAGCCAAGCTGCCTGCACAGATGTTGGTGCAGTTCTACACGGCCATCATCGAGTCCATCCTCACCTCCTCCATCACCGTGTGGTTCGCTGGAGCCACAGTCAGGGACAAACAGAGACTACAGCGCATTGTGCGCTCTGCAGAGGAAGTGATCGGCCGCAGCCTTCCATCGCTGCAGGACCTGTACGTCGCCCGAGCTCGAGGCCGGGCTGGTCGTATCACAGCCGACCCCTCTCACCCTGCACATGGACTATTCCAACCACTCCCCTCAGGCAGGAGGCTGCGGTCCATCAGGACTAGAACCTCCCGCCACAAGAACAGTTTCTTCCCCTCTGCTGTTGGACTCTTGAACACTTCTTAACCTGTCCCCCCGCCCTTTATAAAGTCACTTTACTGCCCATCATACGTCACTTTACTTCACTGTACTGCTGTCACCTTACATTGTGTGCACCATGTGCACTTGTATATTGTAAATAGTAACTGTAACTCTATTTTAAATTTAAATTTATTCTTTAGAAGTGTTTTTTATTCTTATTTTTATTATCTCTTTTTGACTGTTGCACTGAGGCCAAAGCAATTTCCAAGTCTGTGACCTCCCGTTACTTACGTTGGCAATAAAAATGATTCTGATTCTGATTCTGATTCTGATTCTGATGTGTGTGTGTGTGTGTGTGTGTGTGTGTGTGGGTGTGTGTGTGTGTGATTAAGAAACATCTGAAAAAACTTCCCCTCCCATCCCTGAGGAAAACCACCGAACCTCCAACTACGCTAAATCCTACAACAGAAAAACCCCCCCCAATATACATAAAAACAAAACATAGCCAGTATAAGAAAAAATGAAATTATGCAGCTTGGTCCCCCCATCCTACATGAGAAGAAAGACCGGCGCAAAAAGAAATATAAGGAATTCATGAATATACATTCTGGGTCCGACGCACCAACAACGTAAAGCGGATCAGGAAAAAAAAAAATTTTACACATACCTCACCTGAGGAATGCAAATAACATTCTTTCTGAAAAATAAAGCCTTAAAGAAGCCAAAAACATTTAACAGGATGCTTGTTATATTAACTTTAGGAACCAAGAGCAGAAAGGGAAAATGAGGTCAGAAGAAAAACCGAGCGGCAAGCAAAAAAAGAGTTCAAACAGAAATGAATGCTATATCCAAAAAACCTAAATACTCTCATCACCATTTGCTGAGTGCAACAACTGAAGCCCTGCCCACACCTCAAGCCGACCCAGCGGTTAAACTCCCACCTCTCCTTCGCTTAACTTACAGCTGCAGTTGAACCCGCCATGAAGGAGAACTGTTTCGATTATTAACTAAACATTAAGAGTTAACTTTTTTTTTTTGTTTCTTTAATTTTTTTATAATCACCAAAATATTCCATTACTAAAAAAACAAAAAATCTTTAATTGATGATTTTGCTGAGCATACGCTACTGACACAAAACCCCACTGATCGTTTTTATAAAAAAACTTTTTTCTTTTTTTTTTATTTTTTTTTTTTTTTAATTTTATATTTTTTTTTTTTTTTCTTTTTTTTTTTTTTTTTTTTTTATTTTTTTTTTTTTTATATTTTTAGTTTTTTACTTTTTTTTTTTAGATTATTATTTTACCAACCAACCCGCGGAATTAATATTTATTCTTTGTTTTTCTTGTCTGTTTTCCTAATTGTTGGTATATATCTCTCTTTTATTGTCTAACTCTTGTTTGTTGGGTGTGTTCAGTCTTGGCACTTGAACTTGAGGCAAGGGATCTTTTTTCTGAAAAACAATTTCTTGGATTTTATTATATTCATTATTTAAAAAATATACAATATTTTGGTTTCAGATCTTAATATGTGCTTCAGTGAGAGTGTCGTGTCTTAGGTGCCATTTTTCCCTCCAAATTTCATTTTCCTAGTATCTATAGTGTTCTCATATCGAAGGACGCTCTAAGAGCTCAATAAAAACATTTTATCCCTAGTATTCTCTGGTTATACGAATTTATCTGTTACTACGTTACGATAAGTTATATTACTTTGAAAACTTATGTGCAGACTTCTTTTTCTTTTTATTATTATTCTTTTACTTGTTTTTATTGGAGCGATATTTTAATTTTATGTGGATTCCTTTTAGTGGATTCTTCGATATTGCCTACTTGTAAACATTTATACAATCTATAAGCTTTGTTTTCGATGCCGATAAGATGAACTCGAATAAAACATAAACATAAAACTAAAAGCGCTTAGCGTCCTCTGACAGACATCTAAATTACATTCAAACAAATAAATGAACAATACCATTTGAAAAGTGTGATTTTTTTGTGCAACAAAAAAACCATATAAGAAAGACAAAAAAACATACCAACTATGTGCCAAACTCTCCCCCCTTCTAACTACTACATGGTTATTGAAGCATCATAGAAATCTATAGTTAATAATTCATTAATTATTCACAAACAAAGCAGATTTCATTTCATACCAAAGAGGCTTCCAAGAAATGCGAAGCAGTAAGAGGTTGTAAAAGAGAATAACACCTGCCCCGTCCGTTAGAAGTATAGCGAATGTATAAGAAGCCTATTTATTTATATTAGGAAAATACTGTCCAAACTTTAATAATTAAGAAAACATTTCTTCTCAACTAAATAGTCTTCATTTCTTAAAAAATATTTATATATATTTAAATATTTTTTACTTTAAAAAAACTTTATTATATCTGTATTAAGTAAAATACTCTACAACTAAAGCCGCAACTTTACTATTACATCTTAACTGTAGAATATTCAGCTTTAAGACTCTAACGGGGCTATAAACTAAGTGTGCAATTCAAAACATGCAACTTACAGTTATCGAAACCAAGTCAAAATACGTATACAATCAACTTTTTCCCCTAACCCAATCACCTATAGCCTTCCTACAAACCAAAAGAGAGATCAACTGAGCTACCGTTGTCGCTCTTAGTACTATTTGTTTCGATGAACTCGTTGGTATGTTAATAGTCTATGCCCAAGTAAAATGCTTTAGAGAACCGACGCGTTTATATTCGTTTAATATATTATTATTATAAATATTATATATTGCTCTATGATCAATAATCATCGTACAACATCGGGATACACTCGGGGGCGTGTGCTACTAGAATGCTGGCTATCATAAAAAAATTACAGACGTCTGCAGAAAAAAAAACATATCCAAAACACCGAAGAGAGAACTAAAAGGGTTTAGAAAGTTATGTAGCGGTTCTGTACTTAAGCGGACAATAAGCACAAAGCGAGGCATACCCGACCAAATAAACACCTACATGTAGTTGACATTTAGCGTTATAATTAATAATACTCTGATTTTGGAAGGAGAAGAAGAATGCCCGTAGAGTGAGAGGGTTAAGTGCCTTAATTGATGAACCGGAGGAAGGAGCTGATGATTAATACATTCAAAAGATAAAGCAGAGCTTAGAATCTTAATTTTTTTTTAAAGATAGTAAATTTATTTTGTCAAACTCACAAATGAGTGGATAAGCGAGGAGTATAAACTTAACTGTTCAAATACACAAAAAACCCCTACCCAGGGCGGACTGGAGACTAGCGATTGGAGCATGCCAGCATAAAAAGAATATAATAACAAAGGAAACAGAGACTAAAAAATGAAAGCAAAGTTTGTCACATCTAAGGACTGTGTTCAATTTTATTATACTTAGTTTTTACCTGAGTCCTATAAATTGGCAGACCAGCCGACCCCAGGGTTACTGAGACATTAATACATCGAGATGCATGCAAAACTTATGAGACCAACAGGGAGTGGAATCCATTTTAAAACAATTTGAGGCTGAAAGAAGTGTGTCCTCCCTCCACCCCGTTAGTAGAGCTGTTAGCGTCAGTTGAGATCTGATGGCGATGCAATCATACCGAGGCATATATCAGTTTAAAAGCGAGCAAGATGTGCTTTAAAGCTGAGGACAGTCAAAAAAACAGAGATCAAAAGTGAGCACATCTATTGAACATAGTTAAAAATAAAAAAATGTAGTGATTGCCTTTTTCCTTTGTTCTAAACATTTCTATGTGATCAACATGAGACTTTGTGAAAATGGCTGGAGTCTCCACCTCCCTGTCATTGACACAGAGAGTGCATCCCAAATGAAAATGCTACATTACAAGAAAAAATTGGACAACATTAACGCCGCTCGTTGGCTTATACGCGATGGAGGCCGAGTTGTATGTATTATTTCTTATTGTAGGTAGCATTAGGCTGTTGTCAGTTTATCGAGTTTAACGGTAAATTGAGTCATAGGAGCGACTAAAGCCCTTTATAGGGCGGTATGCATGCATGCTCAATGTGAGTGATGTGTGATATCGAGATTTCTTATTAGTTTTTGTTTACGCAAGCGTTGTCCATCATCAAGTCAAAAGGTTGTCTATGGATCTTTGGTTTTGACTACTATTTGGCCACCTGGCAGCGTGTTACATTACAACAGGCGGCAGCACTAGGCCAATCGGAGTGCGCCTCTTTGCCTTTTCTTCATGTTTGAAGAAAAAAAAGATTTGTTTTTATTAACAATTATCTCCCCTCAACATACGCCATCTCTTTTTTCCTGTTTTCCGCACGAGACAACTTTCACATTGTTGTAATTGATTTTCTCTTCCAAACACAAGTTTTAATATTGCGTAGCAAAACATTCAAAAGTCTCCTGTCCGTGTTCTACTGCACGATAGTATTGTGAATGGTGTTATGGTGTTTAAGACTTCAGTATATTATCTATACATGGTTTGATATCATGCTTGTATATATGATGATTCATAATCAGGGTAATGGACCTTGCTGCGCGTGAAGCAATTACACAGTGTGAGAACTCTGTCGTGTCACATCTTGTGAAAATCACCTTATAAGTGAAAAAAAAAAACCTCTGAACTTTTGGCCCAGTCTTGATCGACGCACACTCCTACTTCCCCCCTGGTGTGCATCCCTCCCCACCTATCACCCCATGAAGCGCTTCTGTCGTCCAGACTTGAGCACTCCACTGTCTCCCCCTGAAAACACTGTCTGTCCCCACCCCTTGCTGCACGACCCGTGTCCCCCCTCAGAAGCAACTTCTGTCCCCCCTTGTGAGCACTCCCTGTCCCCCGCCCTGAGGCAGGCCTGTCGCCCCCACGTGACAAACACCCACTTGTCCCAATCCCCCTGAGCACCCCTTGCCTTCCTCTTGAGCAGTAAGGAGCTGTCCCCTTTGAGGGCACCCTCTTTATCATTAAAGAATGTTAATTTCTGCTTTAAAAACAATTACTTGATGAGTTAAACAGGTTTAGTGACAATAGCTTTGTCTTTCTATGTCAAAACATTTGGATGAGTCATCATAAACAGAGTATTGACAACTAGGAGGACTTTAGAACAGAAGTGGCGTATTTATGACATACAGTTAAGTTACCTGGTTGATATTGTGGCCTAAAACAACTCCAAGGTCTGTTTGAGCATGATAGGGAACGATGAAGTTAACGATGTGTTTAATTACTTTAAGATGGCCTTTTCTATGTGAGTCTACTTTCCTGCTTTGGAGGGCATATTTTACAAATCTTCTAACGTCCGGTATAATTCTGAAATATTATGCTATGGCTTAGTGATTTTTGTTTCTCATCATAGTCAACAGCTCACACGCATTTCAAGTTGCCATGCGATAATATTCATAGCTTTTTTTTTCTCACATTGTCACGTTAACTTTAATGTAAAGCTGCTTCACTCAATTTCTCAAGCATTGTTTCTCCTTGAAGCTGTGTGCATATTTCAGCTCTGCAGCCTCCGCCCATTGGTTTTAGCAGCTGTAAAAGCCAAACTGACTGGATGGATGGCCCTGCCTGTTATCCCTCAGTGGGAGATACGGCCTGACTCATGTAGATTCAGACTTCAGCATGTGCTGGGTGAAGATGATACATGGAGATAGCACCAGCGGCTTTGTCTTCCTCGTTTATAGTTTACGATTTGTGTCGCCCTGTTTGGCATCCCACTCAGGATATTTTATCACCAGGTTGGTAATCCATCTGTTGACAAATAATGACAGCATGATAAAAAAAAGCTGGGTTGTTTCACAAGTAGGAGTTTGACTTTTCAAAGCCTACAGAATGTGTGTTATATGTGGCAGCAGGCCAGTTATGATCTTATTCGTAGCTGATTCACTCAAATGGTGCCAACTATCGCATTTAAGTACTTTTAATAATATTAAAAATGTATTTATTATATAGTATATATAATAAATCTTATATATAATATAGTATATATAACTATATATATTAATAATAGTATATTATCTGCGACTATACTTTATATTTATATATATATTTATATAGATAAATAACTGTGGGGAAACGTCCCTAAAACCCCTAATGTAGTCAAAGTTATCATGTGTCTTTATCAATTAGGATTGAACAAGAGGCCAGATAGCCTGTAGCCTCAAGATTTAATCATTATAAGATTTTGGGAGTGGACAAAAGTAATGAACCCCTCGAAGCTCCGTGTTGTTGAGTTGTTGAGCCCTAATTTAATGTCATGCATTCACATATCAAGCAACGACTGAGTTATTACAGAAACAGCGTTCATGTTTGATCGGAGTTTGGTGGAGGGCAGGGGGGAGGGGAGTGGTTTGACTCTAAGCTAATCTGAATACTTTACTGAACCTTTAATGTAGTGTAGTAAACAGGAGTGATGAAATATTTTATTCAAATATTAAATACGGAAAACAAATGTGACCTCCTCAATATCAGAACTTTAATGAGGTCTCCACTGTAACAATTATGTATCCAGAGTGCTCTTCTGTCCTGTTTCATGGTGTGTTTACTTTTGTATTTTTCCATAATTTCCTAAATACTTTTTCCATAAAAAAACTTGGGCTGTACATAAGGCTAACCAAAATTACAGTTTATGGTTAAGCTCAAGGAGAGAGATTCATGTCCTGACTTTTGACTATCTAATTCTGCTTTTAATATTTCTAATATTATTTTTCATGTAATATATTATTTGAAACTATCTGATTTCACTGTTTTATTTGAAACAGTATTTGTAGTATTTATGGAGCTCGGTATATTTCAACACATTTTTAATTAGATAAATATGTCCTTGTAGAAAGACTTAATTTCCAAATTAACACATAAACATACAGTTTCTCCTCTCTGTCCAGGGTGTCCGGGCAGCCCGTCCTTTCCTGGTGGTCCCTGTTGGCAAAAACACAAAATAACAACCACGTTCCTTCCTTCATCGATCCAAGTCTGGATCGTATTATCCTATGGATGTTTGTGACATATTATCCCATTACTTTATTACTGTATGTGGACCATAAACCAAGAAACAACAACATATATTTATTTTTTCTACTTGTGAAACATTGTTGATTAAGGTCTAACGGGAAGCTATGAATTCAACCTTGAATCAATAGTTTGAAATGGTCTCCTGCCGGGTGCTGGGAGGGAGAAAATAGCCGTTGCTTCGATAACTGCCAGACTAACGACCTCTGAACAGAATTAGGGAGTTTTCCACACTTTACCACACCCCATGAACTCCTCAGATTCAATCAATCTTGACTAATAGTGTTTGCAAACCTGACTAATGTGCACGGCTACGGAGTGCAGCTAAACTGACTCTGGACAGTGGTGTACACTTACAGGGGGTCCCTTTGGTCCTGAAAAGCCGACTGGTCCCTGAGGTCCTTGAGGTCCCTACAATCAGAAAATAGTGATTAGTAATAATCTACGTATAGTATTCAAGTTAAAGATAAAATGCGAATAACTAGATTTTCAGACACCAAAATGAATCTTGTTGGACAAAATGCAAAAAAAAATATTGTCATTATATTGTCTGCACAAGGATTGCAATTGAGTTTGACTTGTCCCTCTTCATACTAAACTGCAGTGAATAATTGAATTTGGGCTATCAGACATTACAATAATGGCATGTAGCCAGGGCTGTTATTTTATTACAAGAATTTAGACAAATTTGGTGTTGCTCATGGGCACAAACACATTACTGCTGCTGTGCTGGCTTAAGGTAAAGTTAGACACGTTATTTCACACTTTATTTCACTCTAGCAACCAAAATATGACACGCAAGTGAGGCTCATTCTGATTTATGATTGGATGAATTAAACATGCACTCTCCAGCTCTGGTAGTGCTGATCAAGCCGAGCATCAACATCTGGAGAAGGGTACCCGGGCGCTGTTACTACGGCGACCACTGCAAATGCAGAGAATGAATTGCCCTATGGGATAAATAATGGGCACCTTTACCTTTACCTTTAAATAAAAATATTGACCATAACATCCAATTAAATTATTTTATCGGGCATGCATCAATTGCATTCATGAGGAAACTTTTTCAGTGCATCCACTGCACAGTTTCTGTTTCATCATTTGTTTTCCTGTACTGCTTTATATTAAGGCATTGACCTGATCTATCTGCCTGGACAAAAGTAGCCGAGAGTCACAAGGTTCAGGAAAACGTTTTTAAAGATGATTCTTTAGCAATAAAATAGTGAAACATGTTTAATGCCATATTGTGGAACAGTGAGTAAAAACATCTGAATGAAGACACTCCAGAAAACTTATACTAATCTATCCAAATGAACACCAAACAGTTGCATTTATGGCTTGGAGTTTATAGCAGTCATATTGAACAAAGAAAACAAAGTCAATTACAAGGTTATCAAAGCGAGGTCTACAGAAAGAGATTTCAATCTATTTATGACAATAGCACCACGGGTCATAGGCCAATGCTCTGATTAGCTTTTGGCGTTTCACTGCTTCATTAAGAAAAGAACAATGAGGAGGCACAGAGCCCTTTGATCAGTCTGCATTTACAACTCGCACAAAGCAATGTTATTGAAATGAAATCACGTCTGTCAGTCACGGTCGGCTTTGCTGCATGAAGGGTCACTTTTAATAAGGGCACCGTGATTGAGCGAGGATTTGTTTTGTTAAGAGCTGTGGAGACCACGACACACTTGAGGCTGCACTGCAACAATCTACTGTAAGACCACACTCACACCAGAAACACGATGAACGGAGAGTTCTAAGGCTCACACTCACACCTGCTCCAATGAACTGAGCCAAACAAGGCGTAGGGTTAGGGTCTGGCTAGGGCTGGGCAATCAATCGAATTTAGGCAATTAATCAGCTTTTGAAAAAATCTAATTTATGAAAAATGTGAAAATCAGGAAATTGAATGAAGGATATTGTGTTCCAGCAGCACATGAATTATACTTGCAATATCAGCACAGTCTGTACAAGACCAAGTATTGGGGGAAACAAATTAAAAATAGTTTATTGAGAAATTTCTACTGAAATAGTTTAATATTGAGCGGAAAATCCAAAAATATTTTAAGGGCAAGGTCTGTCTTCGGTGACTTTAATGAAAATCGTTTTAAAATCAAAATCGTTGAAAGCAGGAAATATAATCGAGATTTTACTTTTTTACCATATTGCCCAGCCCTAGGTCTGGCTGTGCTGAAGAGTGGACTGTGATGTACACTGTAAATGCTCCAGAAATGCAAACACATAAATCAATAACATTTACCTTATGACACATGAAGTCTAGTGCCATTTTTTGTTTAATTATTTGACATTGCATATAAACAGTCAAGATGAATGAACCAGTATCAGCAGCAAAACATTTACTACTGTTGTAGCGACATACACTTTTGTGGCTATTCTATTGTAAACTATATTTTCCAAAGCAAAGATTGGGACGCCTCAGCACTATTTTCTGTGCGCAGTGTGACACCCAAACACAGTCTATTCATTTAAATTAGATGGAACAAAAAAACAGGCTTCACTAGCATATTGTAAAAAGCTACAAAAAAAGCTTGAAAAATAAACTTCACACTTTATTACACACGCTGCGTTATTATGAATGTGGCAAAAAAAGTCCCTCAGAAACTCCAGCAAAGCTCTAACTCACATTAATGGAAACAGTGAAATAAGGAGGCTCCGCTGGAGGCTGTGAGTGCGGAGCAGCCGCTAGAGAGATTAGTGAGTATGCCACTTGTTTAGCCATGCAGCGCGGGCCTATTGTTTTACACACACGCCTATGAATCTAGATCGGACAATTTGGTCTACTTTAGGGAATGCCGCAAAGAAAAAATCATCCTATTTATTATGTTTACGCCTGCTCAAGGTTACACCTGTCAGGCAATTCCACAACAAACAAACTCCAAATGATGCTGTTATAGTGTACATGAGTGAGTCTAATAAAGCATTATAGTGGGAATGGGGGAATACACAACAGTGCAATGCAAGAGGAGACAATATGAAAGCTAAGGACACCGCTTTCAGATCCAGTAAAAGTCTTCAAAGTTTGAAATAATGTTTTGGACTTACCCTCTCTCCAGGTGGACCTGGGGGGCCATCGTTGCCTGCTGTGCCCTGCAAAGCAAATAGACAGGATCAGTTAATAACACTATGGAGAGACTATCAGGTCTGCTTTCACACCTTTGCATCAGTCATATTATGTAAAACAGATTATTGCATTATTAGTTATTCTGCCCGTTTATGAGCAGCATTAGAAAAGGAATAGTCACTCACAGTATTGGTATGGGTACATCATTTGACAAATGTGTATATGTATAAATTAGTAATACAACAGTATATGCATATAACGAAGGGCTACATTTTACTGTTGAAACAATGGATGGGACAGTTGGACAATGTATTTTACAAAATATTAAGTCATGTAAACATAGAAAAAATGTGATAACATAAATAACATGGATTGGATTGGTGGTCTGTCCACTTGTCTCTTCTACATGTACACTTGTTATTTTCAATACCTTAGGTCCTGGTTTCCCTGTCGGACCTCTGGCGCCTCTTGCACCACGTGGACCCTGCAAAGTAGTAAAAATAAAATGAGGTAAGACATCAACAGCAAAGTAATCCTGAAAGCAAAATAGATTTGTAAATGGAGGTACATACCGTTGGACCCCTTTGGCCTCTTGGACCTGGTTTTCCCGCAATTCCCTGTTAGTAAACACAGAACTATGCTTGAATAAAATGATTTTCTGCTGTCTCACAGAATGAGGGCTTTAATTACCACAATCTTCGTGTAAACACCATATAACATTGTTCAACAAGTCTTTGGTGGGATTACCATGTCCCTTTGTTTCTCTCTCTTCAATGGCTTAACCCAGCATCCAAGGAATCCTGCCAATAACTGCACTGCACTTTAAGTATTTCTACAACAGCTGCTGAATGACTTCCTGGCTTTCTGTCAGAACAGTCCAGAATTAGATATCAGGGAGAAAACAATCTATTAAGAATTTGGCAGATGGCCTCAGAATAAGTGAGATAATAAACTCCAAAGTCACTGTGGAACTAATTAATCTTCAGTCTATTATAGAAGATCATTTTCAATTGATACGGTTATAAACTACAATGACTAAGCTAAGTTGGTAATAATTCATCTGTTACTACTTTAAACTACTCACAGGTGTTAAATAGAAAGTAAGTCTATTTAGTAAGGGAAGTTAGATGTATATTTGATTGTAAGCTGGTCAGAGTAAATACTACAGCTTCAATAACTGATGGAACAAATAACACTGTCTGAAATGTTGTCTTTGCAATAATGTGCAGAGTTTTGATACATTCTCCCGCCAATGAGTATTGTGATTGTCTCTGTGCGTCCATCAGTCGGGGCGATTGTGCAAAATACGCTACAGATTGAGCTGAAGTTTGGTGGTGATTGGGACGTGATGGGACTTGTCGGAGAACGTGCTCTTCAACTGTACGTTCTAGTTTCCGGTTTAACATGTGGTGGGTTGAATGAATATGTCACGTTTTGATATTAAAGCTGGGGTAACTTTAAACCTACAAAAAACACATGTCCAATCAGCTCACAGCCCAAAGCTCACAGAGCTAATTTTATCACTGACTGTTACTTTAACAAGACTCTTTCTGCTGAGGTAAAGAAAAGGTATTATTTATGGGTGCTTTAATTGCGCTGTTTCCTTGTCTTAATTTATCTGATAAAGCTGTAATAATTGTGCATAGAATATAGCATAGGGTATAGAAGTTTCAGTATTATCATTGATTATAATATTTATGTGTAGTATAATACCATCCATCCATCCATTTTCTTCCCCTTAATCCATTTCTGGGTCGGGGAGTGGCCAGAGCTGCACCCAGTCACAGAGCACCAGCCCCTCACTGATCCTCCTGCAGGTGGTGAGTCCACAGGAACTGAGATCTTTCAGCAGGGGCTTCAGGCAAAGTGGGGTTAAGTGTCTTGCCCAAGGACACAACGACAGCAGTCATCAGTGGGAGTCGTGAAGTAGGTCTTATAGCGGGCTCGAACCCACGACCTTCAGGCTCTAAGGCCATTGCTCTACCAACTGAGCTACTGTCAGTATAATATTTTCTGTCAAAATGTATCATTCTTACTATTTAAAGGAAAATTAGTAAATTCACAAAGCATTTATCAGGACAACCTTACACAAATGGCTTGTCAGAGAGATTCACAATTAGATAATTTTTCCCCCAAGATTGTCAGCCTGCATAAAAAGCGTAATAAAGTAGAGTGTTACTAAAGTTTTATTCAGAGAGAAAACTGAAGCTAGGATTTTTTTATCAGCCGAGCGACGTGAATGAATGCAACATTCTACAAGCCCTGGAGATGGAAGACAAGCTCAAAGCGCAATTGTAGCCATATCTTTTGTTCTCTCCAAACATTGATTTCTTGCGGCTGTTATGTTTTGTGCAAAGTCACCATACAGATGCCTCTGTAATAGGAATCAATTTTCCTTTGTGAAGAGATATGCAGTCATTTTCATACCCAAACAAAAAGTGTGTATTCGAGATTGGTGCTTGTCTTACCCTGGCGCCTTTCTCTCCGTTGGCTCCTGGGAAGCCTGGGAATCCACTGGAGCCCTGTTAATAGGGAAAGGAGATATGGTGAAGGACAATGAGACAACCTAACGTGACGTGACTTTTTATCCAGAGCACTGTCCAAGGAAAAAAAAATAGACTTAATAATCATATTTAATGTAGACATTAATTATAGTTAAGATGAAACAAAGATGCCACAAAGGCCAGCGATGCTCGGTCTGAGCCATTGCAAAATTCACGTCATTGCAACACACTTGGAAGAATGTTTTAAAACTGATGTCGTAATGTAATTCCACTATCCGCACATAGTCCCAACTTGAAGAAAAATAATTGTGTCCTTTGCAATGAAATAAAGGTCATTGCAATACTTAATTGTGTAGAGAAGAGAAATAGACTTAAAGATGCATTATGAAACTTTTTGTGTGATAAAAAAAGTTTGATAGTTGGATTATTTGACCTTGTAGTGACCAAGCAGCTGTTAACCGGAATAGCACACGTAGGTCTCTATCACAGTAGTCTCTATCACAGTGGTCTCTATCACAGTGGTCTATATGGGGCACTGCTGAATCACTGCAGACACAACCGTATGCAAAGATATTGTTTTTTTACACATACATGTTGGATAATGCTCCATAGCACATTTGGATTGAAGTAGATAACAAGCATTGGCGCTGCGAAGTACCAGCTCTTACACAGCCCTTGAAAGCTTGTTCAGGACTTATCATCTGAATTGCCGAGAATAATGACGAAAAGACAAAGACATTAGAGTGGATAGTAGTTACCACACCACCAAAATGTTGGTCTATTAAAATTTGATTTCAAACTTGATTCTAACAATATGAAATAGACTTGATACCAATTTTGATTCCATATGATAAAGAATACAAAAAATAATAATGAGAAATTGTAATTAAATTAAATTATTGTTTCAGTTAAATATTCCCAATGAAATAACATTAACAATAACAATAACACTTCAGGATACAAAACTATAAGTCATAAACCAGGAGTTTAACCTCAGCAGACGACTCACACATTGTGACGACCATCAATGAGACCAGGAGTCAAGTGTCCTTTTGTTCCACTTCGCTGAACCAAAAAATGTCCAAGGCATTGAAACAAGGGTACAACCATTCAAATAATGAGCTCTGCTATGCAAAGTTTACCTCGAAACGATGAGGAAAATATAGATACACATTACTTGTGCTTTTTTCATCTTGGCACCAAAAAGCAGTTAACCCTTTAGGCGCTAAAGAAGCAACATTTCTACATGAGCTCCAGGACCTGGATTTGAACATAAATTAATGTACACTAAATTGACAATTTGAAAAGTAAAAATGACTTGATGGTTTACTGTCCTTCAACTATTCTTAAAATGTCAGTATTTGTTTTTGTAAGCTCTGGATCAATCTTCTTGAATATGAAGTCAGTTTAAAATAACATTTCTTCAAAAGGGCTGCTTGATGCATGTAAAGCAATCATGTATTTTTACTAAATGCATTACCTGTTTTACCAACAACATTATGTATTAGCAGCTAAATGAATTTGACTGTGTTCCCCAAACTATATAGAAATGCTGTATAGATTTGTTACAAATGCAATGACGTGGTCAATCTCTCACCTTAGGTCCTTGCCTTCCTGGATACCCTGGTAAACCGGGGACACCTAGTTTACCCTATGTGAAGGCAACAACAAATACAAGTAAAGTCTCACACACATCAATAATTATGATTGTAGTGTTACATATGTGTCTGCTACCTTCTCTCCAGCAGGGCCAAGTGGACCAGACTCCCCGTTGGGTCCAGATCTACCTTTGGGACCCTCAGGACCGTCCTCACCTCGTGGACCCGCCATACCAAGCTCTCCCTAAACACAAACCATGTAAATAATATAATATAAACAATAATTTGACTCGTAGAAAGTGATGCTTGGTGCCTACCCGGTCTCCTTTGATTCCCATATCTCCTTTGAAACCTGGGAACCCATCTTCACCCTTGACAAAAGCAAATATGTTAAAAACTATTAAACTTGTTGAAACAAAATGGGTCAACTAAAAATTTGATTATTTTTTTGGACATGTAAACATCCTAACATAGTCTATTTTGTAAAAAGCAAATGTTATTAGCATATTTAGGCTAGGGGGCTAAATTGGCATCTTCTCTGTCGAATTTCCAATCCATTTCAAGTTTCATGCTGCCCCACAGTGGACGTACAGAGGAACTACACTTAAGCTGAAGCGATTTACTATCTAATCTTTCTTTGAACTGAATTACTTTACTTTTACAATTAATTTTTTTTTTTACATATCATTATAGAGATGGTACTTTTCACATTTTTCAAGCAATAAGCCTTCAATAGAATAATTGCCACACATCTAAACAGATATACGGATATATTATGTTAATTTCAATGCGTGGAACCAGGCAACGCAAAAACCTCTCCAAAGAAGCAGAAATTATGAGCAGTAAATCTGAAGGACAATACAGATCCCGAAAGTCAAAGAGAACTTCCTAGATACTTCTTTAGTTCATATGTTGCCCACATGTGAATTTATTTTTATATTTTTTCTGTCAATATCTGATGCATAATGCAGTGTGTCTTTTCACCCCACATCACAGCAGCCACCCAGGCACAGCCGCGCACATACACCTGCCCAGGCCTGCATACTTTATTATTAACAAAATCTCTCTTCCTCCAAGCTCCCTGCTTCAGAATCTCCCCCTATAAATTATTCAATAAAAAACCTGAATATCTGTCACCATGTTGAAAACAGCTGCATAATAGGTTTCATAGACAGACGCAAACTTTATTGATCTTAATTAAACTTCATGAATATTCAATGTGTTCGTCATAGTTGTGTGCTAATATAAAAACATGGGGGCACTGTAATTTGGCAAATGTGACTTTCAAAGATGCTGCATGTATTACTTTCTTGATGGAAAGAGGGAGACTTGCTTGGGATATTGTTGTCGTTATTGGAAATGTCCATAATATCAAATTCAACTAATTTATCGCTAGAAGGACACGCAGAGGACAAAGACCAAAGCTGTGACAAGGTGAGCCCGCTCTCAGTAAGAGTGGATGTTTTACAGGACTTTTTGAGCCGTATCTACGTAGACCATGAGTAATGCCTTAGTGGGGAATGTGATACTTATGAAGAACACTGAGGAATATTGGATCCACACAGTGTGTGAGTATTGCATTTATACAGGTGTCAATGTTGGCTATAAGAAGCCTATTAGAATAGACAAGTAAAACTTGAAAATTAGAATACTGTTCATATGTTCCAAATGTATATATGATATAGACCTATTACAAAGGGACATTGCCTAGCCTCTATTATAATTTTGATAAGGGCCATTTTCAAAATATTCACATTTTCAAGACGTGATATATCTCACTATCATTACATAAATGAGTTTAAATACAATTAAGTAAGTCCATTTTAAGTAAATGGACTTTTGGCGGTGGCAAGTCAAGGACACACTTTGATTGTTTTCAAACACAAATAGTTTTCAAATGTATCATGGTTTTTTTTGGTTTGGTTGACTTGGTGTTTAATGAAAACCGTATTTTGAAAAGCTTTTTTTCTATGTGTAAATTCTCTATTCATTTTGACGAGGATGAGGTCGGAGAGAGATGGGTTAGCAGAATGCAAAACAGGTTGTCAAATTGTTCAGTTATTCAGCATCAACAGTGAAGGAGGCAAAGGTGAAACAAAACATTTTGGAGTTTTCTACCTTCTCTCCTTTTCCTCCCTTCAGACCACGAACACCATCAGCTCCCTTTTGGACGGAAAATTAAATGATTAAAAAAATTGCACTTTTGCCAACGGCAAAATGAAATCACACCCAAATGGCATTACCTTAACGCCACGAGGGCCAGGATAACCAATGGGACCCTGAGGACCGAGGGGACCCTGCAGAGACAAGCGCACATGTTTAATACTGTACTTATGACTCCTGATAGCAATACAGGGCTGCATTGTACCTGGCCTCCTTTCTCTCCAGGTGGACCCTCTTTCCCAGGATGGCCCTTCAGACAAACAAAATAGTCAATTAGTTATTAGTAATTAGTAACAAATAATTACCGCATATCATTCCCAATATTTAATCTCTTCTGATAAAGAAAAACGTTGACATTGAAGAAGAATGTTGCATCCAACATACAATATGAAACTATTAAATGTGTTTCATAGTGTGTAAGAGACAGAGAAGCAGTGTAAGTGCATATTCTACGCAGTCAATGAGCCATAAGACTGCAGCTGGACAAAAACATACCCAATAGGTTTCCTAAATAGCTGATGGACAAACAAAACATAGTATTTTATGGGGTGGGCAAAACGTTTTCCAGTCCTAATCCAGTAGGGATGGAACTAGTCAATTTTGCTGTACTACCTAAAATACCCTAAAATCCAGTAACATGTGAGACTACACGACACTTGTGACGTCACATACACAGTGAGCACACTGTGAGTCTCCTGCAGCACTGCACCTGCTCTAGTCTGAGGTCTGGGGTTGAGCCTGTAAATCAGTGAACTAAGCCTCAGGCCAAACCAATGTCTGGATTTAAACCCCAACACACTCTGGCCCCGAATGGAAAATACTGAGAGAGACAGGGTCAAACTTGTCACTAATGTCATATTTCACAAAAGATGACAGTCCCATCACATGAATCCATAATGATAAAGAAAAATCGATCTATTTAAAGTATTAGTTAGTTGCTCATTGATAACATTCACTATCTAATCGATTCCAATTCAACCCAGATTTGTAGGACCATTGTCCCTATATTATCATGCAAAGTAAGTGTAAGTAAGAATACTTGAGCAGTCAGTATTTTTCTTTTCTCGATCGAGGATTTGCATAGATTTTTTACTCAAATCAGGAAGCAGTGGATGAGCATGGGCAGGTCTAATCAGTGTAGAACCTGACTTTCACTTCAGCACATAATCAAGTACACAACAATACGACTAGAATAATTTGAATCGATCATAGGCTGTAAGTATTCATACGTGAATATAATGCTATAACCCAGGCCCCTTTATTATTTGACATTATTTTGTGGCCAAAAAAAACTACGAACCAGGAAAGTTGATGTTTTAGTAGCAATGTTTTCTGTCACTAGAGAATATTCTTTGTATACATTTAAGTCAAGACTATTCTCAAGTTCCAAATGAAACATTATATTCCCACTTTAGCAGGTCAGAACAGCCTGAAGCATCAGTGATTGTATCCAAGTAGTGTGTGTCTCTGTGTAGCTATAGCACGTCCTCACACACTTCCTGTCATAAATGGTGTGTAAGGAGTAAGTGTTCAGAAGTGCACTCACAGGAGGACCATCAGCTCCAGGTAGACCGGGCAGCCCCGATCTGCCCCCGGGCCCCTGGGAAGGAAAAGGAAAGGTGAAGGTCAAGCAGAGTTCTCCCAGCATCTGCACTTTCACACTCATAACAAGGAAACACTCAAACCAAACAGTCTGTAATTAGAACACTCGAAATAGATTCTTTTTCATTATTACCATTGGGACACATAGCGGCATACAGTGTTTTTTTCATCATTTTTGGAAAACATTTTTTTTCCCGAATTTTGTCACATAAATAAATAGTAACATTACTGAGAATTCTAAATAACTTACTTTTTCTCCAGGTGGTCCAATAGGGCCTTGAGGACCAGGGAGACCCTACAAGAAAGATACACAAATAGCATTTAGTAATGATCACAAAGAAGAAGATACACACATGTGTGTTAGCTAAAGTGCATGTAAAATATGCTTCACCAGTGTGGCTTCAGGTGTATGTGTAATGTGAGCTTTCACTGGTGTGGCAGCCGAAATTCCATCAAAATGAATGGGATTCTTTCAAATGGACTGATCCAAATCGGTCCCCTTTCCCAAGATAAACCAAGGAGAATGTGTTCCTGGTATTTTTAGACCACCGACGGGGAAATGACTTTCGATAACGAGGAGAAGGTACTAAGAAACTATGTTCAAAGACTATACAGTGTAATGTATTTATCAAATGCATCCCTCCAATGATGAAGACAGGAAGTCGATCTGGGCTGTTCTCAGGAGACTGGTGCAGATACAAACAGGAACAAAGGCCTCTGTGTCTCATTACATGAAGCTGCACTACACTGCATGTGCTGTGGGGTGTGTATTGATTTTTTCACCTGCGTTCCTGGAATTCCTTGCTGTCCAGGTGGGCCTGGTTCACCTTGAGGCCCCTAAAACCAGACACAAAACTCCATGACTTCTCATACACAATACAAATACAGCCAATTGTGGTAGAGAAGCTATGAACAAATACATCTGTAAATACTAGTATATACTGACCTCTTGTGGTACTCTAATAGGTTGCATGTACAGGTTTAGTAGTTAAAACCACAACAGAAATCAAAGTTACAGTCAAAGTTAAACAATTAAGCTGGTTTTAAAGGTTTCACTTTTGTACAATGGTAGAAGTTGTACAAGTGAGGTAAAACACTAGTAACTGGAAGAAAAGGCTACTGCTGTGTGCAAAGGAAAATAAATGTTCAAGTAATAATAACCAAGCAATTACTGTTGTGTTTGATTTTGGACTGTTTAATATTGATATAGAAAAGAGTTTTGGATATTTTTTGTTTGATTGCTGTTTCTGTTACTGCACAACCAACGTACATGTATTTCTATATTTAGTTAGATTTAGAATCATTGGAGTTTAGAGTTACAAAATGCAACTACCATGTGTCCTAATATTGTATTCATTGTTCTGACACATTTGAGTTTGCATTGAATGTTGTTTCCTGCCAAGATATCTGCCATAATTAAAAATCCATATCTCAAAACATTGATTAAGGTTAATTTTTTACCATGTTTCCTTTTGGCCCATGAGGTCCGTCGACTCCAGCAACACCCTATGAACGACAAGCCATAGAACAGTTTATTTTCCCAAACAGGAAGTGAAATCAGATGAAAACATGATGAAAGAGAAACGTACAGGAGCTCCAGGAGGTCCAGGAGGTCCACGTGGCCCCAACAAACCCCTCGGACCCTGCACAGAGAGACAAGAGTGAATGTCCCCTGCTGAGACCCACACAACACAAACACATGTAACAGGATCTGCTGAAGGGACAACAGCCTTACACTCTCTCCAGCCAGTCCCCTCGGCCCGATCTCTCCATCTTCACCCTGAGAAATGACAAGGAAATGTATCAACACAAATGTATACAAATCAAGTTTAATATTAGTGATTATGATTATTATTGTCACATAGACATGATATGTTATAAAAGTAAAATATAATGCTTGAAAAATAATAATTCAAATCAAAACATTTTGTTTTATTGTTGACATACATTAACTCTCAATCTTGTTGTAAAAGTGAGGATTTTCATTCAAAAGAAAGGTGACACAGAGTTGTCAAGGCCTGGCCTCAGATGACACTGCCTGAGGCCAATAATTCCCAAATATATTACTGCAAATCCGGCTTTGAAGAAAGAAAAGATTCTACATTTGACTTACTCTCTGTCCGTCTTCTCCTGGGGCTCCTATCGGCCCTGGTGGTCCATGTTCTCCCTGTGAACCAAATAATACAAGGCCAATAAATAATATTCACACACATTATATAACAATGACAAGCATATATTTACTAGAATTCATTCTGATTTGAGTTACATATTTGTAAGTATTTCTTCCAATTTATTTGAACTGATCCAATTATGATTTTCTTTGACTTTCTAGTATTACAAATAGTATTATAATCTTTTCACCACCTAAATACCAGGAACAATGAGGCCACTTTTGCCAAATTCTTGAGGTGTTGAAAATCCTTAAATAGTAGAATTATACATGAAATCAGACTGTGTTAGTAACTTGCAGCCATTCTGCATAATGTTGTTTTTTATATTTTTTCAGTGACTGGAGATGTCCTACTTGGTGATAATGGTGAGCTCCTTACCCTGTGTCCCTTCTCTCCCGGCAGTCCGGGCAGACCATCAAATCCCCGGTCGCCCTACAGTCATAAATGTTATCAATACCAAATCAACTTATTACTCAAAGTAATGAAAAGAAAAGAACATTCTTACCTTAGAACCGGGCTCTCCAGGCATTCCCCGTGAACCATCAGCTCCGGCACGACCCTAGTGATCAGATCAGGACAAATATGACATAAACTGTTTTCACAATGGTTAAGTTCGCAAACAGCAAACCTACCTCTTCCAAATGATGATTATAACATCAGCAAGCGTAGATTAAGGATAGAGATCAGAAAAACAGAACTCGTTTAAGATAAAAAAAAAAGGTTTTACTGTAGCTGTATTTGGAAACATAATAACATTCAAAGTGACTGTGTCACATTTGGATTTGGGGGGAAGTCAAAAGCCTTGTTTCAAAGATTCAGGTGCTGTTGTTTGCGTGGCTTGTCTGCATGATAATGACACTATCCGTGGCCCATTTCCGTCATCACATTTCTCTTGTGGGCATTTTCAGACAGATTAAGCTCCTGGTCATTGATCCAAAGACTGCGGAGGAAAGCCTTTAAGAACATCTCAATTAATTGTTTGTTGGGCCGCAAAATAAGCTTCTCACTCAGTATTTGAGTCGCAGCCACCAGTGAAGCCCAAACCACCGCAGAAGCACAAACTTAGCAGTGAAAACAGAGAGCCGTGAGCACACACTTTTGCCCAGGGGTCAGAGGGTTTACTTACCCGCTTGCCTGCTTTGCCAGGAGGTCCTGCAGGCCCCTGGATGCCACGAGGGCCCTGAGGAACAAGACCAGATTACCAACTGCCCTTTACTTGAATAAGACAAGTGTGTATATGCGTAAGAAGAGGAGGTAATATTATGTCCATGACTTCAGAATGTAGTTTCACTACAAATACATACATACATAGATACTTTTTTGATGGTGTGAAATTCAAGAAATGTAGATAAAGTAAGTGCATACAGTGTTATATTCACTGTGATAAAAGGAGTATGTTCAGTGGTAACTTTGTTAAAAGCAGATGTATTTATTAACATATTTTCAATGTCAAGTTAATTTGTATAGCACATTTATAACAAGCCCAAAGTATTTTACGCTGGTGGCACATGTTAAGTACACCTGGGCTAAATAAATATGATCAACTAATTCTTCTAACTATAAAAGTTCAAACTATAGAGAAGCCAGCACTTTTCTTTAAAGTACTGTAATGCAAGAACAAGTAGTTTCAGTGTTATTATCTATCACAAAACATATCGCATGGCGCCGTAAAGATGGCGCCGTGGCAAGAGCTCTGGTGTGTGTCGTTGGTGCACACTGGGGTAGTCTTGCACAGTTTTTCCAATGTGGTTTTACTGCAAATGGCAAATAAATGAATCTGAATCTGAATCTGAAATTAATATATATTGTGCCTGACCCCTTCTCAAACATTTCACAAAAAATGAATGAAAATTTACCTGTGGACCGTGGTCTCCACTTTCACCTTTAAGTCCAGTAGAACCAGGAAGACCCTATGAGAAGGTAAACATCTTTATTCATATATCCGTACATGTTCATTGAGGGTTCAGTCACGTGATGTGGTGTTTTTGACAGCAGGTGGCGATGTTTAGCTGATATAGTCCATTGTTCATCATGGAGAAGATAACTAATACTAGTGTGTGAGCTCAAAAGGACCAATGAACTCGTTGAATACAAATGGTTGGATAATATGTGGTGAAAATATAATAAAAAATAAGTTGAAATATATCACAGTTCTTAATTTCTAGTGGAAGTCTCTTGGCTGTAGATGAAGAGTGGGTCGTGTATCAACAAGTCTGGGAGATACGAACAGGGGGAGGCACCAAGGGCTTGATATTTTCATGGCAGCTGTTTGAACCAAGACACAAAGGCCACTTAGCAACACACTGTGAATCTATAGCACTATTGGACAATGTATGAAGAGATCATAGAACCTAAAAGTGAAATCCAACATTGAACAAAATACAAAGCAAAACAGACACATACTTCAAATCCAGCAGTTTGTTTTAATTAGCTTTAAAGATCATATTGTTTGAGAGGAAATTAGGTATAAAGCACTCACCACTGGTCCTGATCTTCCTGTCAAACCCATTGGCCCTGGGGGGCCTCTCATTGCCAGCTGTAAACCAGACACAAAACTCCATGACTTTCAGCACTTTCAGATGCTCTGACCCTCTATGTTCACATGTTAAACAAGCATTGGGCCATTTGTCACAAAGCATTTGGTTGATAATGTGATGTCATTTTAAAGCTCTCGGTTGTAAGACATCCTGTTTGTGTGTGATTATGTATTTATTTGAGAAGTATACTTTCTGCTCAAAAGGATTCTAAAGCAAAAAGCTTCCCACAACTAAAGGAACAAAACGTACAAAGGAATATTAACACATATTTAAGATAAAGGTGCGTGTCTTTAAAGCAATTGACGGCTATACTACTCTCTTTATTTAACGCTGAGGTGTCAATGTTCAAACCACAAACAAACTAATGTAATAAACAGTCTCGTTCAAAGCTCTAAAACTGTCTATCTCTAGTTTTCAAGGTGGTCCTCTCTTTTTTAGAATTAGAGTGAAAAAGAGAGGACCACCTTGACTCAGCCAATCAGCTCACAGTTTCCAACTCCCAGTCCAAATAGTGACACACAAGACTCTTACAAGTATACAAAAAACAAGGCGAAGGCAGCATGTCGCGATCTGATCTGAGAATCATTCTGATGGAACAAATATTATAAGATATAATATATAACATGAAGCATCTCAGTATTAAGTTATTAAAAAGCATTTTATACAATTGGTCAGATTCTACACAGTCTGGTAAAGTTATCCACCAAAGAAACAACGTGTTTTTTACATAATGCGACAAAATGTAGTTCCATTCTAGATATTAGTCTTCCACTGAAAACAATAAAACCTTCATCATATACAAATCAAAGTGCTTTGTTTTGTTGGACTGTTTCCGATCATTTGCAGGGAAGTTAAAGTTGATTGTGACTGGGTAAATAAATCATATCAATATCATGATCCATGCACCAATGAAACTGTGCTGAAGATCTTTCGCAACATGAGATCTAAGATCTATGTCCATAATGATGAAAGAAGGAATGACCTACTACTACCACACTACATACGATGCCCTATGACATATTATTTTTTAATTTGTAATGATTGAAATAAAAAATGTATTTAATACATTTAATTGACATTATATTAAGACTATTGTGGCAACCCGTTTTTGAGCAGATCTATAGCACAGAGCAGGACAAAATAAAAAACTGTTCCAAACTATTCCATCTCGTGGAACTATGAAGACCTCCACCTGTTTCCCCGGGTCACCGCAGGTCACAGGTATTTTTAACTGTGTCTCTTCTGTGTGCATCTGTTCAAACTGTCTGCTCATTTTATGTTGTGGCTCGGCAGGTCTGCATTTAGCAAGGCCGACCAGAATAAAGCCACAGCTGTAAAGGGGCATTCTGGAGTCACTTACCCTGGCCTGGGAAAGGATGGCCTGAGCTTGGGCTTCTTGCGCGGACACTACGGGACCCTTCTCACCATCACCACCAAAACGAAACTATGAAAAAGACATGGTTATTTTAAGAATAAATTCATGAGATTATTGAAGCAAAGGTTTGGTCCCAGTTTCCACAAGTTTTTGTTGTACCAAAATGTCCAAAGTCTGGTTCTACTGCACTATGAACAGAGCCCTGGATTTTTTAGTGCATCCCTCAATTTTTGAGGAATTGAAAACTGAGACTGCTGCTGTTGTGATTTAGGTTTGTACCAAAAACATTGATTTGAATAGAGTCTAAATGTTCCAATTGATTCACATTTGTACATTTGGTCATGCTCAATAAGCTATTTACAAGTTTATTGTGACAGAAATAAGGTCAGAAAATGTATAAATAAGCATTTTTCAAGATTTCACACAGAACTTGAGTTTTGTCATAGACTGAAAGACTTACCGGCAGCATGAGCATTGTACCAGGAGGACCAGGCAAACCATCAGCTCCAGGCAGACCAGCACGACCAGGAGGACCCTAAAACAGATGGCGCATAGAACTGAGGGATTTTTTATTTTCATCTTTCTCTTTAATGTACTGTGGTTATTTATGATTTGCCTTGCCTTACAACATGAGAAAATTGTCATTTTTCCTACATTAGAAATGTTTTATATCATAATTGAAAACTTTCTTGTAATTCCTAATGTAAACTGAAAATAAGAAAATCTGCTTTCTCCTATTATACTCCCTGTAAACGGAACAGTCTGCTTACTGGCATCAAATGTGCTGAAAACTAAGGACAGATTTGCAGCAGACTTATAAAGTGTATAAACCTGTATTTTTTAGTGTTGTGAGTTAACACAATGTCCATCTTGCTGTTCAGCTCTAGTGGTATGTGCTATATAAATAAACCTTGTTCTTTGAGACATCCAAACAGATTTTTTTCCGAAAGATTTTTTTGGAAGAACTTAAAAAGACATATCAATGTTAAATGGAATGATACTATCTATATACTGTAACTCTTATTGAACAAACAAATTATTGTTATAGCCACAGACTATGACTTTCCATAGTGTGTTGTTTTCCGAATCACCATTTTCTCTGATTTGGCAGCGCATAGACTGATCTTGTCCATCTGCGACCCTCGCCACTGTCCTCTGTCCAAAGTAAACTTCCTTTTGCATTGTGTTTTTGTTCAAATTACCACAAATCCAAGCTTTACCAAAATAATCAACGTGTTAAGGCCCAGCAGAACCATAATAATGGAACCAGGATCTGTGGAACTGTGGCTGCTTTCATTCTTGTTCTGGGACCACATATTTTCTTTATCGATACTAGGGTAATCTGATCAAAACTATTTCTCGATTCCTGGGAAATGATGCGACGGGAAATTAAAGTTATAAACTATTGGAGTGCGCATCTATTGTTGTCTTACGCTAACGTTGCATTCAGTAGTCTACGCAGCGGTATCTACCGCCTAAGGATGTCTACTGCCAGCTTCGTATGGGAGCATTTTAAAAGACTTGAAAATGAAAACGCAATGTGCATGTTGTGGGACCGGATTTCCAGTTGTTCTGGGGGGTCGACAAATGGACTGCGCAGACATTTAGAATCTCAACATAATAATGTTCTTGAAGAAAGTCCATCAACAAAACGTCTGAAAACGCTAGATGGCTACTTTAGCAAAGCTAGGAAGTCGCTTGGTGAAACACTAGCGGAGATGGCAGCTTTTGATGGATTTACGTTTAATATTAAACATATTTGAGTGATATCATACATTACTTGGGCTAAAAACAACAACTACATATTTTCCCAGGATTTGATGCATCTTATTTTTGGCAAAAATATTGAACCTCAATCAATACTACATTTACCTAAGTGCGATTACAATGATTATCCATTGGTTAAGTTGTTTAAGTATAAAGGATTACGTTATTATCCAATCAACAGATGTTGAAAGAACTGAGTTGTAGGAATGAAAATACATCTTATTCAAAATGAACCTTACATTTACACAAAACTTCAAAGTTTGAAAGATTAAATTCAATACAAAGGATGCATCAAAGTAAATCAAAAATCAAATGTTCTGTAATCTGCATAGCAACACTGGCTAGTCCATCCATCCATCCATCCATCCATCTTCTACCCTTTAATCCATTTCTGGGTCAGGGGGGTGGCAATCAGAGATGCCACCCAAGTCTCATAGCACCAGCCCCTCACTGACCCTCTGCAGGTGGTGAGTCCACAGGAGGACGGCTGCTCTCTGAGTGTGAGCATAGCCTTGATCTTTCAGTGGGGGGGGCTAGTCCACACTGGGCAAATACAGGTTCTTTTAAAACTGGAGTACCTAACTTTGAAATCCCAAAAATGTATAATGAAATAACATGTAACTAGTTACTTACTCTGACAACAGTTTGGTTCTATCACTACTCAGACAGAAAAGTACAAAAGAAAGAACTAACAAACATCCATCCATCCTCTTCCCCTTAATCCATTTCTGAGTTAGAGGGTGGCAGTCAGAGCTGCACCGGCCCCTCACTGCTCCTCTGCAGGTGGTAGTCCACAGGAGGATTGATCCTTGAACTTTCAGCAGGAGTTTCAGGCAAAGTGTTATGCACAAGGACACAATGACAGCAGACATCAGTGGGAGTTAATGGAGAAGGTCTTGTGGGATCGAACCCATGACTTTCAGGCTCAAAGGCCAATGCTCTACCAACTGACGCCCAACAAACTGTTCTCTTTTTTGTTTACAACATGATATTATAGCACTTTGAATTGTCTTTTTGTATTTCAGAGCACTTTGGACATGCATTCTCTTCCTATTCACTGTTTTATTATCATTATATTCTTTATGTTGTGGTTCTGTGTGTTCAAATACTAACAATATTACGGATGATAGCCCAAAAATTAAATATTTTGTATATCTGCTCTTACCCTGTCACCAGAATCTCCAGAGGGGCCTGGGGGTCCTTGTAGACCGGAGGGACCTGGGAGACCCTGAACATTAGAAAAACTCATAAGTCATAGTACAGATAGAGGAGTTTAAATGAATGATCTGTGTACTTACAGCAGGTCCAGGAGGTCCGGGTGGTCCTTCAATCAACATGCCCTATAACAGAGCAGAAGTTCAATCTAAAACAGGTAAAAGATAATGTTTGTGTTTATAAAAAAAATAAAATAAAGATCTTACAGGTTCAATGACCGCAGGCTCGCCCTTTTCTCCCTTCTCTCCAAACGCTCCTTCAACTCCCGCAATCTGTGGATAAAAGTATGCCACACGGTGACACTCCTCACAAGTACACAGACACCAAAACCACCAAAAACATATGCTATAATACAATAAATCATTAGATAATAGACAGGACAGAAAGAAAAGGTGTTAGTCAGAATATGAGGTGCAATATTAGCATGCTCCAATCACACTCACGATGTAGGGGTAGATCCAAATGACCAACAGAAAGTGAAAGAAGTGACAAATGTGATAAGAATGACAAGAATGACACTAGGAACTTGTCAAACACTTTTTAACAAACACATGTTGCATGGGTTTCATACAGATCACTGTATGACGTAAAAGAGTGACTTTAACCACTGGTGTCTGACTGTAAGGATTTTTGGACGGCAAAACTGACACTATTGTTTTTGCTCAACCAATTACCGTGTTAATGTGTTTATTTTGTAGTTATATTTTCTTGTATGTATATTTTGAATATGTTTTACATTAAGTGGAACTAATTTTACCTTATTAATGATTGATTATTTCCATATTGAATCATATAGGCTTTAAAACGATATGTATGTGTATATTCTCAGAGCTGATGGTTGTGTGATCTTGTGTTTATGATCTCTGATTTGGACTTGTGTCCGAAGGCCTCAATATATATCTTTTTAAATGTAAGTTTACATCAGTAAGAGATCCTTGAGAAGAAGAAGTGCAGAGTCAGAGCTTTATAATGAGGTATAACATGTTTATATTGGCTGAGATCATGTTAGACATAACAAGGCTTGGATTGACTGTGTCACTATTCCCTTTACTCCCTACTATGTTTTAACTTTGTATTTGAAACGGCATCTTTATTTTTTGCTCAGAGTTCTTGGTTCTAAGGTGCTACATCTTTGCCTGAAGTGTTCTGCAGTGTCATGGTTTATGTTTATTTTCCTGTTTTATTTTGTATCTTGTTAGTCTTTACTCCTTTCCTTTACTCCCTGTTCCGTCATTGTCAATGCCATGTCTCTTTCAGTTCTCGTCGTCTCTGTACCGGGTACTTTAAATTGACTAATCTGGATTTGGATTTCATTAAATCTATTACTTTTTGCAGTTCTGCATTTTGGGTTCTGATCTTTTTACCAAATTACATGCAGCTTGTCACCATGGCGTCTATTGAATGTTTTTCATTTATAGCTTTGTTTGTTATGAAAATACGTATTAGCAATAATAAAGCCATCTCTCTATACTCTAACTCTGACTATATAATAATTGATCATATCATCACAAAGGAAATCTCCACAGAGGCACACACTGTGTATAATGGAGCAGGATTGTTGACAGTAACACTTTATGAACCAAATGAAAAGGTGACATCACTCATTGAAACATTTCTCATGCAGCCGATTGTGACGTCATGCACAAGAGCAGTTAGTCCCCTGTAGTCCAAAGCGGTCATGCACACGCCTGGCTCCAGCGGACGGTGCAGTACTTACGGCGCTCTCCGAAATGTCCGTCTCAGCCGCCACCCCGGGCCCCACCTGGTCATCAGGGGCTCCGGTGGGCTTGGCTTGGGCCGTGCCATAATCATCATAATTGGAGTAATCATAAACCTTGCTGCCAACCTCTCCCAAGTCATACTCCTTTAGGTCGTACTCGTTAAAGTCGTAAGCATCTGCCCCGTGAGTGTCCGGGGCGGCGGTGGGCTCCTGAGCTGTGGCCTCAGTGGCCAGACCCCCAACATGGTCCTCCTCCACAGCCTTCACAAGCCAAGAGGTGAGCAAGGATAGAGTTAGTCAAGCTTTTACTTCTACTGTACGCTGGTAACAGAGAAAATGATCTTACAGAATGACGTTAATAGGAATGGCAACATCTTATTTACATGTCATAAATAGACCTGAATGGCGACATATGACATTACAAATACAGAATGCTGTGTAATCCACAAACATGTGACATTATACATGTACATTCAAGAAAAGCATAAATAAGGTGATGCCATTATAAGGAAAGCAAATGTAAAGTGAACATACTGTATACAGGAAAATTGTTACTTCAGCCTCATATTGCACTAGATCATGAAAGGAGGCTGTAGGAACAATGTGGTTTTATAGTTTGCAGCATTTCAATTGAATTCAAACAGATTAGATGTGATCAGTTCACGGTTGTGCAAATATACTGTTTATAGGATTGCTTTCACATGGTGTATATTTGGCACAACTGAGACATCACGTTTAATGCTGTAGACTTTGATTATTCCGAGTATTTGGATTGAATTAGCCCAACATAATGGATGTCATGATACACAGGCAGTGTGTCCCGTTCTCAAATGAAGACATGTCTGTGAATGTCTGTGATCACATCCCTATGATGAGCCCTGCAGAGTTCAGGCTGTGAGGACTTTGTGATCTTAGATCGCAGTCCATTTGGAGGTGAACTACAAACTACAGATAATTACCATCGTTGTCTCAGGGATAAACCTCCTTAAAGACACAGCATTGATTTGAATGTATGTCTTTGTTGCTTCACTCCAGGCACTCCAGGCATAATTGTATATGAAGTAAAAATAACAGAGCACAATACCTCATGAGGTCCACTGGTGTCATAGGGAGACTGAGTTTGTGTATCACTTAAGGTCCCGTAGTCAATGTTTGTATTGTATTCTCCTTCTACTTTGTTTAGCTGAGTCATGTTGGAAAAGCACAGAAGAATAAAGCAAGCGTTAATTCGGAGGCAGAAACAAGTGTTATAAAGTGATTTATAGGCCTATGTATCAATCTATGCTACTGTTACTACTACTGCAAGGTATCAGCTATCTGCCATCACAGATCTCCTTCACAGCTTGAGTAGGACGATCTTGATGGGCTGGACATTTCTCTAAGGTTTACCCTAAAACTTCCTCTGGGCCGCGATGGTGCTGTGGCCTGGTAGCCAGGCATCGGGCGCTTCTTCTTAGCGGGAAACTTTTTAGCAGGTGATTTTTTGGCTGCCAAGAACCTAAAAGGCTTTGCCTTGGTTTTAAAAAGGGACTTTGTGGTCCTCTTCTTTTTCATGGAGACACTACGTTTGGTTCTCTGGAAAAAGGCGCCACAACAAACAGCACCAAGACAAACACAGAACATTTAATAGTGGAAATGGAAAGGCCTGAGTCTGACTGTTGTGTATGAATTTCTGTTTTAGACATTATGTCATGGGAAAAAACAAATGACATGCATAATTATTTTAGTGTATGAGCAACACACAAAGTTCAGACCGGGGCCTTTCTATGACACAAATAGAAAACAGACATTAAACAACAGTAAACAGGACACAGATGCCATGTGCCTTTGCCTTCCAGCAGCACCGTCAACTGAATCATAAGCACTTTGGTTTTTCTGTAAAAGGTGACATGAATTAAAATGTGAACAGTTGTATGGGCGGCTGGAAAACAAAGCCCCTTAAGCAGATAGCATTCACAGAAAGTGAGAAATCAGTCTGTACACAGGTCACATGCACACTCTGAGCCTCCACTGGCTCTATGACAAAACATTTTTAACATCACACGCTCAGCTGCACAGGTAAACATAAAGATGAGACACAGACATTTGGACGCGGACAAACGGGACACGACACACCAGGGAAAACGTTTGTTCCTGTTCATTTACCTGCGGCTCAGGATACTCATCAGTGGCAATGATGTCTGTAGCTCCCTCAGAGTAATCATAGAACTGAGTGTACTCTAAGTCATCAGTAAAATACTGAGAGAGAAGAGAGAGAGACGTGTTAGACAAGGATGCACTCTGCAAGATGATACAGACATATCATCCTGAGATTTGGCATGTTAAAGCAGTTCAAAAGCCAAACATTATTCATTACGCAAACACAAATAATGATAATGATATTCTTGCTGGTATCTCTCACGACTCAAGTAGGTGAAAATCAGAGAAAAAAGAGCCTGAAATTTCCGGTATTTGGCTTACAAGTGTAAACAGATGGAATGATTAAAAGCTCATAAAAACCAGAAAACAACAGAGATCCTGAGACCAAAATACCAGCTGCATTCAAGACTATTGTAATGGAACTTTCTCACTACAGGTATGTAAATGATCCGCCTACAGACCCTAATGCCAACCACATTAAGCCTTAGTTAAAACTGGAGAATAACTTTGCAGTATGTATTTACAAAATAAATACAGTATTTTTAGCGCTGCATTAAGATATTAGGGCAAGAAAACAAGTGTGGCATGTGTGTTAGCAGCAGAACAAGTCATTGATAGTCAGACATGTAAACTCCAATGACTTTATTTTAATTTGCAAATAAGCAAAGTGTACTATGTGCATAGACTAAATGCCTCCTTGAGCAGAAGTTGCATGAGAGACAGGGTAGAAATGGATAAGCTAATTTTCGGCTGTTCCTCTGTCTATCCACAGACTTGATACGACCCTCAATTTCTAAAAACAAAATGTCCTGTCAAAAGCATATTGACCAAAGAAAACTAAGATAAAGAATGTATACCATTTGTATTTGTGGCCGTTTGCTTTATTTCAGTTCTAATCAAAGCATTTTAATTTTTTTCCCCCTCCAGGCTTGCACTGTTCTTTTCAACTGCGTACTATAATCCCCATCTTTGTTCTTATTTGTTTTCTTGTGAAGTCAATGAATAATAAACTTAAAGAAAGTAAATGACGCAGCAGGGAGCTGTTAGAACAAGCCAACTCCTTCTCCTGGTGGATGTATGGAGGTCTAAAGCCTGCAGCTTTACCACTCTCCTGCACTGTATCTCTGCGTTCACCAAGCAGAGCCGTTTGGCAAAACACCACCACTTTAATTATTTGGCAGATTTCCCAAGCTGTAATAAATTACTGCTACAACTTTTAGCACGTAATTGTGCATACACAATGCATTACAAGCTTTAAAACAAGTTAAAACAATGTCAACCCAACACAAGAAAAAAATGGTACGTCTGTCAAGGAGAAAAGGTGTAAATGTTATTCTCAAAGAAGACATAATATGATTTTTAACTCTAATTGTATGGCAATATTTGTCAATGTACATACAAATATTGATCTAAATACATTAAAATTAGGGTCTAAACCGATAGACATTTACTAATCATGATAAAAATTCAAGGTGGACATTTTATGAAGATATTCAGGTTTGATGAAACTCGATACTTATAATGAGGGCGAGCCATTCGAACGATACATTTCTCACAATATGTCTTCTTTGCAGTTGCATTTTTATATGAATATGTTTGGTTGGCTAACCTCCTCTGGCTCTTGGGCTTGCACTCTCTGTCCATGGGGGCGGTCACAGTCTGGGCTGTAATGTTCACAGTAGTCGTAGGCAGCGGTGGGATCAGCCACAATCAGAAGCTGCTGGATGTCACCCTGTAAAAACCACAAACAGATTGTTAGAGCCAAAAACCTCAACATATAATCTACTATTTTTACTGAAAACCACAGAATTTCTAGTGTGTGATGAGATAGAATGTTTGAGAAGCTAAAAAGCACTCTTTGTGGTTTCATGTCTCGTCTTGTGCCAACGATAAAGGAAGTTTGGTATGAAGTCAAGGTGAAATTACAATAATTTTTTAAGTATTATTTGGAAAAAGGCATGTAGATTTATGAGGTGGAACATTACACAATCAACCAAACTAACAAAAATACAGCTAATACATTTGTCTCTGAGGGTATAGTGTGTCACTCATGCATTTTACATGAAAGTCTTATAAAAAGTAGTACGATAAAACACAGACAACTATCGCTATAGAACATGTACTAGTTAAGTTCTAATAATTATATTCTTTTTGAAAAGGCCCAAATCTGTGATAAATTTGAAGCCGTTTTATAATCATTTTGATAGAGCCGAAGTCAGTCAAATATGTCAAAACAACATTCACACCCAAAATAGGCATCATGAGAATACAATGTAATATAAAGAAAAAGCAAAAACAACAGCATTCTTGTGAACCACAGAGGTTTGTTTTCAGAAGGAGGATGTATACGGCTAAGTTTGGGAGAGGACACCACAACATCAAAATAACAGTTGCTTCGCTGCCTCACAAGAAGACACAGGAGAGAGCCACTTTAACGGCAAGTTGAAATATTACTATTTCAATTCATCAGCTGTATGAATAAGAAACAAATATACACAGGGACCAAAGCAAAAAGCAGACCCTCCACTAGGAGAGATTTGCAATGCATCTTTTAAGTATACATTTTTTCTGCCTTTAATAAAAATAATAATAATGCATTGGTTTTATATAGCACTTTTTTGGACACTCAAACACTCTTCACATGTCAGTATTCATTCACTCCATACACGGTGGTGATAAACTACTACTGTAGCCACAGCTGCCCTGGGACACACTGACAGAAACAAGGCAACCAATATGTGCCATTGAGCCCTACGACCACCACCAACCATTCACACACACACCAGACACAAGACACTACTTTGACTGGTATTTTCGATGACACTGGGCAAACATTTGGCATCTTACATGAATAATCAAAATACAAAATTCCTATAGAGACTAATCAGTGTATAACTCTGACTGGAGAATGCATATTTTCCCTGTAGTTTGTGGAAGATGGAAGAGTAAAGGCAGGTGACCCTATCCTGAACAGAAGACAGACGGAGCATGCTGCAGCTTGTCAGGAGAATGTGAGCTTGAAACACTTCTGCCCCGCTGTGCTGAAGACACGCTGGAGATGTATGGCCTCTTCACATGAAGCTCAATGTAAACACTACTCTGCTAAAGCCTGTCTCTGGGGAAAACAAAGAAGGGTCCTTGAAACTTTCACTGTAACTCATCCACAACTAGCAGCTTTGCTTTGACTGCGTGTGCCAGTGCCGTGGAATATGAACTAAATGAGCTTTATTCTTCATAAAGAATTATGAATTATAATCTACACGTATTCATCAAGTTATATGTTCAACGCTTTGAATAACAAAATGATGAAATAAGAGGGCTGACTTTGGACCATCATTAAAATCTCTACAATAAAGGGACACTCATACAAACTATAGGTTGAAAAAATTGTTTGTTTATTGTATAGAGCAGGCATGTCAAAACTAAGGCCTGCAGGCCAACTGTGGCCCTCCGCGTCAAGTTATGTGGCCCTCTGCTCACCCAAAAGTATAGCCATTGAGCTCATAAACACAAGTTCACAGCATAATCCAGCCAACTTCAGCTCCATCACAAGAGGCATGCTGTACCTTGTTGTGAAGCCCAGGACCTATCGAATCCTTTGTTTGTATATAACGACTGATGGACTAATAAAAGGGTGGAAAATGAATGAATGAATAAAAGACCTTTGTTTTTTATTGTTATTTTTGTAAATTCCATATATAGCACTAATATAGTTGGCGAGAAACTAAACATTTGACATTCAGCCAACACAAGCCTCAGTCTACAATCTGCTTTGTCGGCCCAGGGGTTCAGCTGGTGAACTAAAGGGCCCCCGAACTAAAAAAGGTTTGGACATCCCTGGTCTAGAGTATAGTCTGTTGGTGACGACTGTTACATCTGCTATGCGAAATTGAGCAATATTCATTTTTATTTTACTTTATTATTGTGGTGCTTACATAAAACAAACACAATAGCATAACTTTTACAACATTGCAATAAATATATTATTTATTAACCAGATCACCGGGACTAGATGATGGGGGCCTAAGTTATTTATTTCTTCTATAACAGACAAGTGTGAGACAGAGATGGTCATTAGATAATAATATCACCAATAATTTCACCAACCCAAAGCTGTCAAGGTATTTTGAACATTAAGAAGTAAAAACACAATAGATGTAATGCTAGACTGAAGTACATCCAGGCACTAGTCAATAGAAATGTTCCACAGAGCAACGGTTTATCAAACAGGAGAGACAAAGTATACTGACACGGTCCAAAAACAAACAATGACTTTAACTCCACCATAACTTCAAAATTCAAAATTCACATCACCCTAAAGAGAATAATTATTCAGATTTGCTCTAGACGAGACAGCATGCACAGGCGTTACCATTCTCAAACAGGATTTGGTCAGAGCAGCTGGGATGGTAAAATGTGTTTTGTACTGCGGGGAACACCTGGGGAGCGTTACGCCAGCTCCTTGGACCTGTCTTCCATTGCACAGTGCTGAGATAAAAGCCTCTGGCAACTTGGAGCAAGGCCAGGAGGAGTTTAAACAGAGCCCCTCCCTCCGGCTTCAGAAGGAGAGCAGACCCATAAGGAACTGTGCTAATGACACAGGGGCCAGAGGGCACAGAGGGACCAGAGAGAGAAGGGTCAAGATCAACAGCTGACGTGAATCTCCGCCCCGCAAACACTTACGCAGGGAAGAGAGTAACAGTATGATGCAAATATGATGAACTGATTTGTTAAAACTATACAGATTGGTATATATCTGCAGTTGATTGAGTTATTTGCATCTGGATCTACTCTCATCCACATGCTAAAGTTTCACAGTTTTGATTTTTATTACCTATAAAGGTCACAGTTAAAGCCACATGGTCCAATTTGATCTCAATTACTTTGTTATCTAACCTGCAAGGAATGTCCAGTCCAGTTCCCTTTCCTGTTAAATAACATCATTCCAAGACAAAAAATAGCACTCATTTACAGTATTCTATCAATCCAATTTACAGTATTATTAATGCAAATTGATTCCTACATAGTTGAAAACAGAAAGACTCCCTAATTTAGAAGTGAGGATATGATTAGAGTGTCAAATTACCATGGCTGTTAAATGTATCTAAGAGCCCATCATAAGCTCTATACTAGCTCTTGACTTGCAAGGTACAAAGTGCATAAATATATGTATAATCATTCAAAGGATAATGGTTTTCAAAATTCACCCAAAAAGGGAAGCTGATGATACTTTCAAAGCAAATTCAATAGTTTATGGGGTGCCTAACTGTAATTTTTAGAGAGAAAAAAGAAAACGGTTGTAGAACCAAATAGTAAGAAACTAGCTGAATGGCTTTGTTTCCATGATTTAGTTGTTTTGTGGTTTGAAAATTAGTTACTCCAGCTTTAGGCTCAATCTCAATTCTTTTGTGGGCCCTATTATCCTCGCTACTAAAGAGACCACTTTGTTCCTTGTGCACACACAAAATAAAAGGGACAAGGCTAATAAAGGGGTAGAATTGAGATTAAGCCTTAATAATGTGGTGTGAAACGGCCAGCTACTTGTGTCAGATGAAAAACAATTGATTTCACTGCTGTAAATTGCCTTTAAAAACGTCCATTCTTGCGGTGAACTTACTCATAGGCACAACCACTTCCCTAGGCACAGCAACATCACCACAGACGCTGCTTATGGCTTCTTCCTCACAGGGGGCAGCCACACTCTGCTCTGGGTGACATACCAAACATCCAAGCCAACTGTAATTACACTGCTCAATACAATGAACCATGACCTCCGCCCATGGCGCAGAGGGTCAAGTTAAACCAACAGAGCCAAGAACACGTAAGGAGCTAGTGGAGCATATTTCAATGTAGGTAAAGGAAGCCCAGGATGAATAGCAGTTTCATTTAGGACAGTGGTAGGACGCGTGGAGGTTTGAGGAAGAGGAGGAGCAGAACGAAAGAGAGAGAGAGAGGGTGGAGGGGTGAGGAAGGCCCATGAAAGAGCGTCATTCATTGGGACCAGAGCCCAGAGTTGCGGTGGTCACCTCCACTCAAGCAGGTACAGACTGAATACCAGGATTATCAACATTATCCAATGTCATAAGTATATGCCACATATATTTACCAGCCTTTGGTTCGCTTTTTAACTGATTAGAATTTACCTCCTGGGCTTAAATTTTGATGTATTTTTTATTGATATTAAAGAAGCTATACCCGATTTTTTCATAAAAATGCTTTTTACTACATACAAGTTGTATCATAATACATAATTTAATTGAAAACTTGGGGTCATTGATTCAGCTGTGTATGAAATTTATGCCGTGAAAAGTGCTGAGTGGAGTCTTAGCGGGCCGTTTGTTCTCCTTCACTCACAGAACAAGCAACGAACAGCCTGCGTCCTCTAGCCTCTACAGCGCTGCTTAACACCAGGGCTTCGACTTGAAAATTCGAATATAATTCTAAAATAATATATATATATATATTCGAACAAATATTAGACAGATAATTCGAAATGTATTTAATGACTGCAAATAAAATTGTTAGCTCCCAAAGGTTTCACCGGGACGTGCTAGGCAGGTAACAGCTAAGCTAGCTGTTTCACGGTAACTTCCGGGTTTTTCGCGATTGCTTTTTGTCACTTAAAAACAGTATTTTTGTCATGACAACGTTGACAGCAAATTCTAAAATCGTCCATGCATGTGTGTAAGGATGTATATGTATACTGTATTGTCTGATTAACGTTTAATGGTG